ATTTGTCTCCAGATATTTTTAATTTCTTCCTTAATTTTCTTCATTGTCCATTAGTTCTTCAGTAGCATGTTGGTTAGTCTCCATATCTTTATTCCTTTCTCAGCTTTTTTTTTGTAGTTAGTTTCTAGTTCATAGCATTATGGTTGGAAAAGATGTTTGTTATTTTCTCAGTCTTCTTAAATTTATTGAGACTTGCCTTGTTCCCCAACATACAGTGTATCCTTGAGAATATTCCATGCACATTTGAGGAAAATGTGTATTCTGCTGATTTTAGATGGAGTGTTCTCTATATATTAGGTCCATCTGGTCTAGTTTTTCATTTAATTCCACTGTTTCTTTCTTGACTTTCTGTCTGGATGATCTATCCATTAATGCAAGTGGAGTGTTGAGGTGAGGTCCTTTACTATTATTGTGTTGTTGTTTATGTCTCCTTTTAGGTTTGCTAATAGTTGCTTTATGTACGTTGGTGCTCCTGTGTTGGGTGAATAGATATTTATAAGTGTTATGTCTTCTTGCTGGAGTGTCCCTTTGATCATTATGTACTGCCCCTCCTTCTCTCTCTTTACCTGGCTTATGTTGAAGTCTACTTTGTCTGATATAAGTATGGCAACACCTGCTTTCTTGTGTTTGCCATTAGCTTGGAGTATCATCTTTCATCCCTTCAATTTGAGCCTGTGTTTGTCGTTGGAGCTGAGATGTGTTTCCTGGAGGCAGCATGTTGTTGGGTCTTGTTCTTTAATCCATCTCACCACTCTGTATCTTTTGATGGGAGAATTTAATCCATTTACATTTAAAGTGATTATGGATATATGAGGGCTGAATGCTGCCATTTTATTGCTCGTTTTCCAGTCCTCCTGCATTTCTTTTGTCTCTTGTCCCATATGTTTTGGACTGCCAATTTGGTTAGGTAGTTTTTGGTTTTTATTTTTTGAGGAAGATTAGCCCTGAGCTAACTGCTGCCAATCCTCCTCTTTTTGCTGAGGAAGACTGGCTCTGAGCTAACATCTGTGCCCATCTTCCTCCACTTTATATGTGAGACGCCTACCACAGCATGGCATGCCAAGCGGTGCCATGTCCGTACCCGGGATCCGAACCAGCAAACACCAGGCCACTGAAGCAAAACGTGCACACTTAACTGCTGTGCCACCGGGCTGGCCCCGGTTAGGTAGTTTTTTATGCTGGATTTCTTAGTTTTCTCCTTATTTATTATTTCTGTCTCTGTTCTACTTTTTTCTTTAGTGATTACCATGAGATTTGGATGCAAAATTTCATAGACAAGGTAGTCCATTTTCTGATGACCTCTTATTTCCTTAGACTGAGCCAATTCAGTCCCTTTCCTCTTCCCCTCCTAAGTTGTTTTTGTCACATCTTATTCCATCTTGTGTTGTGAATTTGTGGTTAAAATGAGATTATCTTTGTTTTTGGTGTTTTTCTTCCCTTTATGTTTAATGTTTTACTTGAGTATTTCCTAACCTGTTCTGATGGATAGCTACAATTCTCTGACTTTGTGTACCTATTTATTTCCTTATTCAGGTCTTTGTAACCCCTTTCTTCTGTTTTTTTTCAGATATGAGGGCCTTCTTGAGGATTTCTTGTAGGGGAGGGTCTTGTGACGGTGAACTCCCTTAGCTTTTGTTTATCTGGGGAAGTTTTTATTTCTCCATCACATCTGAAGGATATTTTCGCAGGATAGAGTATTCTTGTCTGAAAGTTTTTGTCTTTCAAAGATTTGAATATATCATTCTACTCTTTCCTACCCTGTAAGGTTTCTGTTGAGAAAGCCACTGACAGCCTGATAAAGGTTCTTTTGTAAGTTATTTTCTTCTACATTGCTGCCCTTAGTATTTTTTCTTTGTCATTGACTTTTGCCAGCTTCACTACCGCATGCCTTGTAGTAGGTCTTTTTACACTGACAAGTTAGGAGATCTGGTGGCCTCTTCCACGTGGTTTTCCATCTCCTTCCCCAGGTTTTGAAAGTCCCCCACTATTATTTCTTTGAACAAACTTTCTGCTCCGTTTTCCTTCTCTTCTGCCTCTGGGATACCTGTAATCCTTATGTTGCATTGCCTAGTTGAATCGGATATTTCTCAGAGAATTTCTTCGTTTCTTTTTAGTCTTAATTCTCTCTCCTCCTCCATCTGAAGCATTTCTATATTTCTGTCCTCAATATTGCTGATTCATTGCTCCACAATATCAGCTCTGCTATTCAGGGAATCCATATTCTGCTTTATCTCAGCCGTTGTGTTTTTCATCTCCAATATTTCTGACTGGTTCTTTATAGTTTCAATCTCTTTTGTAAAGTAGCTTCTGAACTCATTGAATTGTTTGTCTGCATTCTCTTTTAACTCATTGAGTTTTTTAATGATAGCTATTTTGAATTCTCTGTCATTTAGGTTATAGGTTTCTGGCTCTTCAGGATTGATCTCTAGGTATTTGTCATTTTCCTTCTGGTCTGGAGATTTAATATATTTTTTCATGCCGCTAGACGGTGTGGATTTCTGCTTCCAGATTGTGGTAGTATTTGATCGCTACTTCCATCTTCGCCACTGGGTGGGGGTCAAGACCTGTGTATTCCGAGCCCTCTGCGATCTGCAGGACAGCTCCCAGGTTCTGGGCTGGGGTGCTGATCGTGGCAGAGGGCCAATTCTTTCTCCTGTGCTGTCTTGGGGGCTTTTCATTCTGCCCTCGCTGTCTGTTCTTCTGGGGTGTTGGCTTGATGAAGATACCCCCATAATAGTCACTTCTGTGGGGGGCTTTCCCTTGGGCTCTGAGGGACCTCAGAGATCCATATTGTTCCCGCAGAGGGCCACCACTCCCTCCCTGCTTTCCTCCCAGAGGCTGCGTGCAGTCCCTGGGTTGCTGTCCTTCGGGGAGGCTGGGAAGCATTCTCTTACCCCTTTCTACTTCCTTGGGGGGTGAGGGGTACTCCAGCCCCTCCCCCTTCTGACATGTGGCTGTGTGGGTCTCTCAGATGTCTTTTGTGTTGTGTGGATATCCTCTTTTGAAATACAGTTGTCCTTTTTGTTATATCTTAGAGGGGAGAGTTTATGGTGAGACCTCACTCTGCCATGATGTTGACACCACTCCCCCTTTTCAAACTAGAATTTTTGCTTTAGATGTTATATCATACAGAATATTTTTACAGCACTTTTTAGTTTACAAAAGCTTTTGTGTATATTACAGTAAGCCCCCCTTATCTGCAGGGTAGATGTTCCAAGACACCCAGTGGATGCCTGAAACTGAGAATAGTAATGAACCCTATATATACTGTTTTTTCCTATACATATGTATTTCAGGTGTGACAGCAAAACTTCTATCACGAATTTCTTTTTCCTTCTTCGCAATTTCATGGATAGAAGATTCATTCTTACCATAAATCTTAGCAACCTCAGCATATGATTTTTTTTCTTATTAAGTCAAGAACTCTCACCTTTTCACTTAAAGGAAGCACCTTACAGCTTCTCTGTAGCATATCCAAATTACCAGCATCACTACTCTTGTGCTCTGTGGCCGTTATCAAGTAAAATAAGGGTTACTGGAACATACCGCGATAGATAACTGAGACAGCTACTAAGTGACTACCGGGTGCGTAGCGTGTACAGCATGGATACTCTGGACAAAGGGATGATTCACGTCCCAGATAGGAGGCAGCAGGATGGCATGAGATTTCATCAGGCTACTCAGAATGGCATGCAATTTAAAACTTAGGAATTTTTTATTCCTGCAATTTTCCATTTAATATTTTTGGATGGCAGTTGACCACATGTAACTGAAACCTTGGAACGTGAAACCATGGATAAGGGGAGACTACTGTATTTTATTTTATCCTCAAACATTTTGGTGTAGATTTCATTCCTTCTCATAAAAGAAAATGGACTCAGTGGGATTAAATGATTTGCCTAAGATTCTGTAGCTGAAAGAAGTATAACCGAAATTTGGACCCATGTCTCCTGACTTTGTCTAGTGTTCTTATTTCGTTATACCAACCACAAACTGAAATGAAATCAGATTTCTTAGATTCTGTTTTATACTGACTATTTGATATGAAACAATGAATAATAGCCCTCTCCAGACATTTCTGCCATTCTTTTCATTTTTCTCAGTTTCCATGAGAAAAATAAGCAACATCACCATGAGAATAACAGAATCGTAGAATTTTATGACTGGATAGAATTTTTAAAGTGACTAATCCAACTCATTAATTTTACAAATTAAAAAACTTAAATGGAGGTTGGAAAAGGGACATTTACTCAATTAGTCAGCAGCAGAACTAAGAACTTAGGATTCCTGCTGAACATTATTTCTACAAATGTTGGCTATTATGATGGACAATAATACATTTTAGGTCAGTGCTCTTCTGTTTGATTTTACTGAAACCTATTTTCTCACCAAGTAATTTCATTCAGGATTAAAATCAGTGGGCCACCCTTTACTAATAACCATGAAATATTGAGAAAATGAGAAGGAGGCAAGCTTCCTAGTGTAATTTGCCGAAAAGTACTTTAACTTGGTCATAGTGCCTCTCTAATAAGAAGGAATTGGCAGAAGAGAAGATAAATTTGACATAAACTTTCACAGATTCATGCTAAATTAAAAGGGGAAGAAAGACAAGTAGGAAAAATACCCCAAGAAAAATATTTTTAAAAGAAAAGGGAAAAAAATGAAAACTCTAAAAGAACAGAAATCCTGGAAAATATACTAGAAAGAGAAGGAGTAGTTAGCAATAAAGGTACAACTTAGAGAAGAGAAATTAAGAAAACTAACTGAATCAAGTGGGTGGAGCGCTTCAGTTGGAGTAGAGTAGGGGCGGGCAGGTCCCCTAGGGAGTATTTGGCTTGAGTGAGCAAATGGTGTTTTACATGTTCTAATTGTTAAGGTGAGGTTTTGGTACATTTTTAAATACATAATTATAAACACAAACCAGTTTTTAATTATTCTGCCTCTGTAAAATTTTCTCTTGGACCTGAAACATGAATGAACTTCTCTGCTTTTACTTTAAGAGTATAGAAAATGTAGCTTCCTCAGTGCTTGGAAAGTCTGTCTTTGTTAACTGGCCTCATCTTGAAGAAGCTAGAGTTGTTGGTGTATCAGATGGAGACACTAAGTAAGTTAAATTTCATTCACAATTTTTTAAATTTATGTTTGCTTTGCTACTTGATGGTTTTTTATTTTAACTGATATGATTATTGTAACAATATTCATAATGAAAATCAAAGTCCTCTAATCACACCACTTGAAGTTCAACCCCTGTTGACGTTTACGTCCATCCCTTGAGATATTTTAGATACATATATAATTTTTTGCTTTACTGCCTTTTCTTTTTAATAGCTTGAAAGTTGTACATCCTAATTCTTTTCTAGCAGTTATCGTTATATCACTTAGCAAATATATTTCTCTTTCTGACAAGAATGAATATCATATATATCCTTATCTTTACCATGTCCCTCCCAGGTTTCATTTAAATAGTATATTAATTTTTTAAAACGTATATCTTCTATTTTAAAAATAATTTCTTCACTTTTTATTCAAGTTCACAATCATTTTATCAATGATTATTTAGACAAGTTATTCTTTGTCATCTTTTATCTTTATTTCATGTAAAATTGGTCTGATTTCTTTTTTTTTTTTCATGTGTCTGGAACTTTCTAAAGTAATTTTTTTCCAGAGAAAATGAGAAGATGTTATGTTTTCTGAGTTATTACATGTCCAAAAAATCTTTCTGTTTTCCTCATACATAGGTTTAGAATTTTAGAGGCCTAATCCTTTTTTCTCAGATCTCTGTACAGATATCTCAGCTGTGCTCTGTCATGTAATTTTGTTGATGAGAAGTTAATACGAGTATGAATTTCTTTTCTTTGGAGGTATCTTCTTTTCTGTATGAAATCTTGAGAGTTCTTTTTTTTTTTTTTTTTTAAGATTTTATTTTTTCCTTTTTCTCCCCAAAGCCCCCCCAGTACATAGTTGTGTATTCTTCGTTGTGGGTTCTTCTAGTTGTGGCATGTGGGACGCTGCCTCAGCATGGTCTGATGAGCAGTGCCATGTCCGCGCCCAGGATTCGAACTAACGAAACACTGGGCCGCCTGCTGCGGAGCGCGCGAACTTAACCACTCGGCCACGGGGCCAGCCCTTGAGAGTTCTTTTTTAATTATCGGAATTCCGTTCCCCTGACTCTTTGGTGCAGTCCAGTTTATCAGTTTTTCTTTTATGGATCATACATTTGTTTAAAGAGCTCTTCACCTAGCCCTAGGTCCCAAAGATTTCCTCCTATATTTTCTTCAAAAAGTTTTATAGTTTTGGGACCGGCCCAGTGGCACAGCAGTTAAAGTGTACACGTTCCTCTTGGTGGCCCAGGGTTCGCTGTTTCAGATCCCAGGTGCGGACGTGGTACCACTTGGCAAGCCATGCTGTGGCAGGCGTCCCACACAGAAAGTAGAGGAAGATGGGCACGGGTGTTAGCTCAGGGCCAGTCTTCCTCAGCAAACAGAGGAGGATTGGCAGCAGATGTTAGCTCAGGGCTAATCTTCCTCACAAAAAAAAGTTTTATAGTTTTACCTCTTCCTTTTACATATAAATCCATGATCCATTTCGAATTAATTTTTGTATAACCTAGGAGTTTTAGGTCAAGTTTCATACATTTGCCTCTGAATATTCAGTTGCTCCAGCACCATTTGTTGAAAAGACTATCCTTCCTCCATGAGATTGTTTTTACACCTTTGTCAAAAATCAGTTGGGCATATTTGTATGGGTCTACTTCTGGGTTCTCCATTCTGTTCCATTTATCTGTATGTTTATTTTTATGCCAATACCACACTACCCTGTTACTGTAGCTATGCAGTAAGTCTTAACCTTATGTAGAGTGATTCCTTCCACCTTATTTTTATTTTTCAGAATTGTTGTAGCTGTTTTTAGTCCTTTTCCTTTCCGTATAAATTTTAGAATAAATTGTTCTGTATCTAGAAAAATCTTGGACAGATTTTGATAGGAACTGTATTAAACCTATAGATTAATTTGAGATTTAACATCTTTACTGTATTGAGTCTTCTGATCCAAATAGATCTCCATTTATCTCCCCACTTATTTTAATCTTTTATTCTTTCAACAGTTTTGTTTTTTCAGCATACGGATCCAATACATGTATTTATACCATGGTATTTAAATGTTTTTAGAGCAACTTTAGATGGTATTATGTTTTAAATTTCAGTTTCCCCAACTAGAATATAGAAATACAATTGATTTCTCTATCTGTATTTTATATCCTAGGTCCTGGCTGAACTTACTTCCCTACTTTTTTTCTTGAAGAGTCCAGGCCAGTTTTATTGTAGAATTCTTGATTTACCTGGTTTTTACCTCTTAGTGTCATTTAAATTGGTCCTCCATCCCTCATGCATATTCTGTAAGCTGGAAATTGGGTATAGTGTCTTGGTCAGAATCAAGTTAAACTATTTTAGCAAAAATACTTTATTGAATTTGAGAATATTTTTTAATTCTGTAAAAATTTATATTTTGTATTTACTATTTTAAAAGAGAAAGAATAGTAATTTGTTTTTAAATTTTGATTGAAATTTTTTTGCAAGTCCTTGTTCTGGAATTTATAGTACAGTTTTAAAAAAGGAGGCTTTTTTTTTTTTTTTTTTTTTGCTATTATACCATGTAGAAAGCTTTTCACGTTGAAAATTCGATGTTAAACCGCAAATTTGGGGGTAATATAATTTTTACTTTATTTTCGCTTTTAAGGTTTTACTTGGAAGAACCTCCAGGAACACAGAAGCTTTATTTGGGCAGAACTGCCCCGCCATCTAAAGTAGTCCATCTTGGAGACAAAGAACAATCTAACTGGACAAAAGAAGTACAAGGAATTTCAGAATTGTGAGTGTCCTAAAAAGCATTTAATATCGTGGAACTAGAATGTGATCTGATGTACTTGTCCTCTAATTTATTTTCTGCTTAACATGGTGATCACTCTGAATACTGACTACATCTTCATTTTATATTCTAAAGCAAGTAATAAGTTCTAGTTTAAAATAATATATGGTTAGCGGCGTCTATAGCCTTGCCCAGTTTGTCACTAAAATATTTCATGATATACTAAAAAAAAGAAAGAAAACACATGATGACTTAATATCAGGAATCACAGTTAATAGGTTGCCTGAATTTGAGAGGTGTTTTTACCACTATAAGGCCATTGAATCTCTTGGCCACATGTAAGTAATGAAAATAGGAAGGCTCTCCTTTGTTCCTTACCCTCTCCCCACTCCTCTACCCTTCCTATACCCAAGCTGCATGTGCCCCTGAATTCAGAAATGCAAGGTCCGTACCAATTAGATGCTAAGAAGCTCGCCCCGCTTAGAATGCTTGTTTTCATGGTCACCACAGTGCTTTCAGTCCCATGATCCGACCCTAACATACCTCTCTTTCTTCATCCAAACACTAGATTTCCCTAAACCAAAACAGAATAAAGAGACTGACAATGGCACATGAAATGGTGTTATAAATGTTTATCCATCAGCCCTCCTGTTTAAACTATTATAATAGTATCGATTGGTAAACTTTGGGGAATTCAAGGAGATGCCTCTTCTATAATTTTGGAGCTAATTCCAGGCCATAATATCCTTAGTCAAAGATAAGTAAACAGGGAAAATGTAAAAGACCATAAAAAAACACCCAGCATAAAAAAGGAAATAAACAGGGGCTGGCCCCGTGGCTGAGTGGTTAAGTTCGCGCACTCCACTGCAGGCAGCCCAGTGTTTCGTTGGTTCGAATCCTGGGCGCAGACATGGCACTGCTCATCAAACCACGCTGAGGCAGCATCCCACATGCCACAACTAGAAGGACCCACAACGAAGAACATGCACTATGTACCGGGGGTCTTTGAGGAGAAAAAGGAAAAAAATAAAATCTTAAAAAAAAAAAGGAAATAATCATAGCTTTCAGGAGGTAGAGGTAGAACGTATTTTTGCCTCCCAACAGTATATATGCCTGTCATAGCTCGTATCATTCTGAATTTTCTTTTATAGCACATAAATAAAATCGTCATCATAAATTTGTGTGATTACTTTAATGACTTTTTCCCTAGATAGCGTGCTCCATAATGGTAGGGAACACATCTGTTTTTGTCACCATTCTGTTCTCATTCCTTGGCTTGTGTCTGGGCGTTCAGTAAATATTTGTTTGTTTGAATGAATGGAGATTGTTTTAGTGAAGACTGTTTTGGTTGAAAAAAACTTGTTCAAAATACTACAGGAGTTTAGTCATTTGTTCATATATTCAACAATTATTGATACCTGCTACGTACAGTAGTTGGCGCTGTAGATACCATAGTGAATAAAAACACACAGTCCCAACACTCATGAAACTTATGGCTGTTAGATGGGAGATAGGCGTTAATGTCTTGTGTGAGTTTTTGAACAAACTGCAAATATGATAATTGTTCTAAAGGCATAGTGCTCTGAGACCATATAATAGAGAGGTTTGACTTATCTAGGGAGGAATTGCCTTAGTCACAGAAAACTTTCCTAAGCAAATGTTGATAAACGGGTATCAATATGGAGTAGGGGTTAGGCAAAGAGTGAAAAGAAAGCATGTTTCAGGATGAGAGAACAGTTACATGCAGTCCCTGTGGCTGGAGGAAAAGCAGCATGTGTATGCTAATGATAATGGCCAAGGCATCTGGAATGTTGGAAACAAGAAGGAACCCTTTTGAGGAAGATGAGGCAACAAAGGCAAAGGAAGGAGGTAACTTGAGAGAGAGGAGAGCAGCTAGGAGAGTGTTACAGCATGTACATCAAAGAAAAAGAGTGTTTCAAGAATAAAAGAATAAGTCACATCAAATGTTATGAAGAAGTTAAGCAAGAGCTACTTTGATTGAGCAATGGGCCTGAAAGCCAGACTAGTGTGCTTGGAGGAGTGATTGAGAGTAACAGAAATGGAGACAGTAGGAATTGACAACTTCAAAAAGTTTAGCTGTGAAGACCAAAAGCTCTTGCCTCCTTTTCCCACCTTTCCTTTCCCATCTGGATGGGCTTGATCTTCTCTAGTGGCAGCAAAGAGCAGAGAGAATAATCAAGGCAACAGACTGCTGGACTTGGTAACAGTGTATATTGGTTCACACAAGAGAATGATTTCTAGTGCCTGCCAGTTCTGGATCTCTTGTTTAAAACCTTGTCAGTCAAGTAGGGTAGACAAGGCTGTGTGGATTCATGAGCACTTAGGTTTATTTATTCTGGTCACCATTCTCTTAGACTGATTTTCTTTACCACTGTATTCCTCCCTCAAAGCTTACATTTTGTCCCCTCCTCCCACACCTCCCAAGCTCTTCCATAAGGTGTCTTCCAAGGCAAAATTCACAAGACCACTGTTGCCCTGCCCCTAAGGGTTTACTTATTTGTAATTTTGCACACTGTGTCAGTAGCATGAGGTAAGGCTCCTATGGCTCTAACAAGTAGGAGAAATGTTTATGCAGACCCTTCTTAGCTCTAACACTTCTACAGCAAGAATGTAGAACCTGTTAGAAGGATCCCATGGCTCTAATGAGTAAGAGTAATGCTTGTGCAGACCATTTTTAGCTCTAAGACTTCTATAGCAAGAATGTAAATAAAACCTGTTACTTATCTCAATTATATCTCCATGTATCTTACTAAACCAAGACATGTTCTCCTATATTCAGTGTATCATTTTTCCATGTACATAACACATGAAATATTCCCATGAGTATCAAGTTATTTGATTTTATTTTTAGAAACCCTCCAACTAAGCACATATGATATATCTGATCAATTTCTGTATCCCTGTGGAACAGATTTCCTTTCTGATGAAAATGACCATTAAGAGAGAGCTGAAGAAGGATATAGAATTGAGTGGAGTTGGTTTTTGATTTATTCAGAGAGATTGATCATGTGCAGAAACAAATGAGAAGAGAAATGCAATATTTAAGAGAGAGAAACAATACATTTGAAGATGGAATGAGATGGATTCTCAAGGGGATGAAGGATAGCTCCTGTATTTTAACAGGATGGGATACAACTGTAGGTTGGTTTGTGCGTTTGGCATGGGGGAAGATGAGGAGCTCTCATCTGATGGCTTCTGTTTTCTTTGTAAAGTAGATATTGAGTTTAGCTATTGAGGATGGTGAGAGGGAAAGGGAGATTTGTCTTAAGTTTGAGTAGAGTGGAGGAAGTTTAAAAATAGTCCTTGGGGAAAATGGAAGATTATCAATTGATCAGAAAAACATGGTAGAATTATAGGCAGTATTAAGGGCCCTTTCTGAAGTTGAAGGTCATGAATTTATGATGTACCAGTCTGCTCTGTCTTTAGATAGTAGAGCTCACCTGATCAGTCACTGATCATATAGCTGATCGGGCCTATAAAAAGCAGATAGATAGATTTAACAAGCACTGGATTTTGCCAGATGGGTACAATGAAAAGACAAAGAAGCAAGGAAGTTTAGAATTCTGGCAGGAATGTTACTGAAATGATGGACAAAGGAATCTAAGTGGGATAGAAAGAGAAGTGAAGAAAGTAGAGGGTTAATAGTTTGAGAGAAAATAGAAGGGTCAGTGGTCTAGAGATCTCAAATTAAATTGAATAAGGGTCATAGATGAAGGGATTGAACCGACAAGTTGGATGAAGGAGTTTTTAGACAATAAGATGTTTGAATTAGTGATTTTGGAAGTGAAACCATTATGGGTGACATGAAGACCCAAGGCATGGCTGTGGGAATAGAGCTGAAATGGAATAGAAGAAAAGATTATTGGAGATAAGGAAGTGTGTAGTCTTGGTAGATTGTATATGTAAAGATTGAAGTTATTCTAGATGATAGTAGACATAAAGGTAGAATGGGAAAGAGTAGGGGAGTTTACTGTTAGGGATTTGGATGTCACAGTGTGTTGTAAGGATAACACTGGCATACTCTTCAGGGCGCCACTACTGCCCTGAAGAACGCAACATGAAAACAAACAGCTACCACTTGAGAGGGCTACACAGGGAAGTGGTGGTATTTTCAGTTTAAGGAGGTGGATACTGAGGATATAATAGAGTGAAAAGGTTTAGGAATTGAAGAATAAGAGAAGATTGGAAGAAGAGAGCAAGGCAATACTTTATGGCACATTATGGAGAAGATATTGCACTTAGAGGATGATTTGGAGGGGAGCTCCAAAACCCTGTACCTCAAACAAGCAAGAATGAATCAACATTAAAAATGTGGTTATTAAAGGATTGGTGATAAACACTGAAACCATTAAAATATAGGATTAATTTTTAAGTACTAACTCTCATTTTACATAAGAGAAAATTAAAAGACAGTTTTGTTTCTCATTTAGAAAATCAGAGAATATGAAGGTTTTTTTTTTTTTTTTTAAAGATTTTATTTTTTTCCTTTTTCTCCCCAAAGCCCCCCGGTACATAGTTGTATATTCTTCATTGTGGGTCCTTCTAGTTGTGGCATGTGGGATGCTGCCTCAGCATGGTTTGATGAACAGTGCCATGTCTGCGCCCAGGATTCGAACCAACGAAACACTGGGCCGCCTGCAGCGGAGCACGCAAACTTAACCACTCGGCCACGGGGCCAGCCCTATTTTTTTAAATTTAATTCAAAAGTAACTATTATTCAAAATTGTAAAGCAAGATTTCTAACTTGCAAATGACTGGCAAGAAAAATCAAATGAAAGACAGAAGCTAGAAAATAGAAAAGCAAAATAAAAGGTTGGCTCAGTGGCATAGTGGTTAAGTTTGCATGCTCCACTTTGGTCACCTGGGGTTCGTGAGTTCAGATCCCGGGCACAGACCTACACACAGCTCATCAAGCCATGCTGTGGTGGCGTCTCACATACAAAATAGAGGAAGATTGGCACAGATGGTAACTCAGTGACAATCTTCCTCAAGCAAAAAGAGAAATATTGGCAGCAGATGTTAGCTCAGAGCCAATCTTCCTCACAAAAAAAAAGAAGAAAGAAATAAAAGAAAAAGAAAAATAGTTTAGGAAGCCTAAAAAGAGAATTAAAATAAGATGATAGAAACATGACTAAACTAAGAATTGTGGCATTAAATCTAAGTGGCTATAACTTTGTGATTAAAATACAGAAGCACAGATTATATCGCCAATGTCATCATCCAACTGTAGACAACTACAAGAAGTACACCTAAAACCAAAGTTAGTGGGGTCTAAAGTACAGTTAGACCTCACCATCCACAGTTTTCAGAAAGTCCAGTTTGTTTGTTTTTAGTGAGAAAGGTCCACTCTGAGCTAACATCCGTTGCCAATTTTACTCTTTTTTTTGCTTGAAGAAGATTAGCCCTGAGCTAACGTCTGTGCCAGTCTTCTTCTGTTTTGTATGTGAGATGCCTCCACAGCGTGGCTGATGAGTGGAGTAGGTCTGCACCCAGGATCCCAAACCACAAAGCCAGACTGCCAAAGTGGAGCACGCAGAACTTTAACCACTTGGCCACAGGGACAGCCCCCAGAAAGTCCAATTCTATATTATATTCCAACCAGTTCAAAAGACATGTTTGGTTCTGTTCTGTCTCTTTAAAGAACACTTTATCTTCACAACAGCATGGATGGACCTCGAGAGTATTATGTTAAGTGAAATAAGCCAGATAGAGAAAGACAATCTCTATATGACTCCACTCATATGTGGAAGTTAAACATGTAGACAAAGAGTACGGATTAGTGGCTACCAGGGGAAACGGGGGGTGAGGGGTGGGCACAAAGGGTGAAGTGGTGCACCTATAACATGACTGACAAACAATAATGTACAACTGAAATTTCACAAGGTTGTAAACTATCATAATGTCAATAAAAATTTTTTAAAAAAAGAACACTTTATCAAATATACTTGGGAAATGTAGATAGAAACAAAGTGGAGACTGCAGTGTTAAAAATCAGATAAAATTGAATTGATGGCCAAAAGAGTAAATAGGAAAAAAGATAACTATTTGTGAAAACTTTACTTCACAGTGTAGATAGAACAAGCATAAAAATTTATGCCCTGAAAACAAGTTGACATATACCTCTATTTGGTGGATTCTGAAATGCGCTTATCATCTCTGAACTTAAAATATGTTTTACAAATGTCATAGTTTAATTGGTGGACTCTTTTTCTTGCTCAGTGGTATATAAAATAATGATATTATCTTACAATCATTGGTGTCTTCCAAAGTTCGGGAAAACCTGAAACAAATTACAGAACACCATAATTTTGGGAGACTGACCTTTTTGTCCCTGGCAGATCTAGTAATCAAAAAACACGCATATTTAGAAATCTAAGCAATATAATCAATTGATTTAATAGTTATAGATTAGATTCTGCCCCCCACATAGAAAATAAACCCTTTCATGTAGGCTACTCAGAAAATGCAAGAAATTTTAAAACTACAGAAAGAATACAGACTATAATACTGACCCCAAAGCAATGAGAGGATAAAGTAAAAGCAAAAATAAATAAAATCTCCTTACCACTTGAAATTTTAAAGTCCTAAATAACTATTTTGGGAGATTTTTTTAGTATAAAATTTTTATTGAAGTATACATAAGGAGAAAAAATGTGTACAAATCATAAGTATATTTATGACTTGATAAATATTCACATGCATAACCAGAATACAGGTCAAAAGATAGAACCAACAGAAATATTGCCGGAACCCCACAAAGCCCTTTATGCCCCCTTCCAGCCATTACCATCTACTTCTCCTCTCCCCCAAGGGTCATTATTTTGATTTATAACCCTACAGACTAGTTTTTGCTGCTTTTGAACTTTATATGAGCTGATTCAGACAGAACGTATTCTTTTTGAACCTGGCTTCTTTTGCTCAGTACTGATTCAATATTCATTTACATATAGTTCATTCATTTTCGCTAATGATAGTATTACATTGTATGAATACACAATTTATTTATCCGTTCTATTGTGGATGGACGTTTGAGTTATTTCTCATTTGGGGCTTTTGTGAATGCGTATGTATACATTTCTGTTATGTAAATATCTAAGAGTGGGATTACTGCTGCATAGAATATGCTTAAAACTCAGCTTTAGTAGATGCTACCAAAAAGATTTGCAAAGTGATTGTATCAATTTATATTCTACCAGCAGTTTATAAGAATTTCTATTTATCTCTACCTTCATCAATATTTATTACTGTCATCTCTTCCATTTTAGCCATTCTAATATAGTGGTATTTCATTTTGGTTTAATTTGCATTTTCCTGATGACTAATAAAGTCATCCCTTCATGTCTCTTGGCCATTTGAATATGCTTTTTTGTAAAATACTTGTTCAAAGTTTTGCCCTTTCTTTTGACTGAGTTGATTACCTTTTTCTTAGTGATTTGTAATTTTTCTTATTGATTTGTCATGTCATTCTCAATTTCAGGGAAAAGCCTTAAATGATTCACCATTAAATATTATGATTGTGGTAGAGTTCTTTTTATCAATATTCTTTATCAGATTAAGGAAATTTCTTTCTATTCCTAATTGGCTAAGAATTTTTACATTAAGCATTAATCGATGCTGATTTTATCAGATTTTTTTATGCATCTGTCAAAATGTTCATATGATTTTGCTTCTTTTTTTCAGTTAATCTGGTGAAGATTGATTGAATTTCAAATATTAATCTACTCTGAATTCCTGGAGTAAATCCTATTTGGCTATGATGTATTATCCTTTTTATGTATAATTGGATTCGATTTGTTAAATTTTGTTTAGGATTTTTGCATTTCCTTTCATGAGAGAGATTGGCCCATAATTTCCCTTTCTAGTGATGTCCTTGTCAGGTATTGATATTAAGATTACTGGCTAAATAACTTTTGAGTGAAAGTAGTAAAAAAAATCCCATTGAAGTTTTAGAAAATGGTACCAGAATTCTACTTTCAAAAATTTATTGGAAAACGTCTGTTTCTGGCTAAAATGACATGGCTTATTTAGACCAACTCTACCAACAAGAACAACACCATTAAAGTATAAGCTGCTTTGAAAAATATATATATTAATATATAATATCTTTATAGACACATACACAAAAATTAAAATTATGATTTTATAATGAGCTTAGTAGGTGATGTGAATAGTAATATGGACATACTGAAAATTCAATCAGTGAGCTAAATGATCAAGCTGAGGGATTCCTTCAGCGCATAGTACAAAAGCAAAATGAGATGAAAAGATTATGGTCAGAATTTCTATGATCTATCTGATAGGAGTTCTAGAAAGAAAAAATGAAAAAGAGATAAGAAAATATGAAGGATGATTGTATCTTTAGATCAGAGGTCAGCAAACTTTATCTGTAAAGGTGACAAAGTAAATATTTTAGGCTTTGTAGACTTTACAGTGTTTGTCATAATTACTCAACTCTACTGTTGTAGCATGAAAGCCGCCACAGACAGTAAATAAATGAATGGCTGTGTTCCGATAAAATTTTATTTACAAGAACAGGAGGTAGTCAGGATTTGGCCCACAGCTGTAGTTTGCCCATCCCTACTTTAGATTGAAAAGGCCCACTGAGTGCCTCTGTTAATAACTGTTATCTGTTTCTGTGGATTTACCTATTCCAGATGTTTTATATAAATGGGATCTTATAATAAGTGACCTTTTGTGTCTTGGTTCTTTCATTTAACATTCTTTTGAAGTCCAAACACATTGTAGCATGTATCAATACTTGTTCTTTTTATGGTAGAATATTCCATTGTATGGATATACCACCTTTTGTTTATCCATTTATCTGTTGGTGGACATATGTGTTGTTTCCACCTTTCTGCTATTGTGAGTAATGCTGCTATGAGCATTCATCTGTAAATATTTGTTTGAGTGCCTGTTTCCAGTTCTTTTGGTTATATACCTAGAAGTGAAATTGCTGGGCTATATGGTAATTCTGTGTTTAACTTTTTAAGGAAATCCCAAACTGTTTTCCACAGTGGGTGTGCCATTTTATATTCCCACCAGCCATATACAAGAGTTTCAGTTTTTCTACATCCTTTCCAACACTTGTTTTTACTTTTTTTGTTATAGCCATTCTAGTGGGTATGAAACACAGGAGTTTCTCATAGCTCTATGAGTTCTCATCTGATCTGACAGACATTGGGGGAGATATCCACAGAGTGAAACAACTAATGCAGAAAGTCTTAAGTTTTGTACTGAGAACTGCTAGCATATTTATTTAAAGTTTATTTAAGCATTTGATTATGAGTTGGTAGTTTGGGTGATGATTATTATCCTGTAATATATACGCTCATACATATCTGTATTTCTTTTTTATTCTTTCTTTTAGCTATCTGAGAAGAAAAGGAATAATAATAAATGAAACATCTGCAGTTGTGTATGCTCAGTTACTTACCGGTCGTAAATATCAAATAAATCAAAATGGTGAAGTTCGTCTAGAGAAACAGTGGTCAAAACAAGTTCTTCCTTTTGTTTATCAAACTATTGTCAAGGTAAGTCTCAGGTCTCAATTCTATCTTAATGTATGCTTTTGCACACTGTATAAGGAAAAGACTATATTAATATTTATCTATAGACAGAAAACTAATTCAGCAATGTATAATGGAGATTATTGTTTAATATAATTTGCAAAATAATGTAGTCTTTAAAAAGATTGTTACATGCTCCAACATTCACTCTGGGTATGGTTAGGAAACTTGTCTCTTTTTTTAACTTTATCTCTAAAAGAAAAATCCTAGCATTAACTTACACCCTGGCAATTTTGGATTTTTATTCTCCAAAAAATGTTTGCTTTAAATAAAGTAGTAAATACAAAAGATATTTGCTTTTATTCTATTATTCTTAGATATGGTAAGGGAACAAAAATTTTTTAAAGCAAGCAGTGATCCTGTAATTTGGGGAAGACAGTATAGTATAGTAATTAAGAGCACAGACTGCCTGAGTTGATTTCTTAGCTGTTTGACTTTGGGCAAGATTCACCCCCTTTTTGTGCCTTAGTTTCCTCATCTGTAAAGTGGGGCTAATAATTATCTCTGCCAGAGGGTTGTCTTCAGGGTTAAATGAACTAATAAATGTGTGAAGTGCAGTCACACACTGCATAATGACAGACCACGTATACAACAGTGGTCCTCTAAGATTAGTACCATATAGCCTAGGTATGTAGTAGGCTATGCCATCTAGATTTGTGTAGGTGCACTCTGTGCTGTTCGCACAACAACAAGATCACCTAACAACACATTTCTCAGAACGTATCCCCAGTATTAAATGACCCATGACTGTTCCTAGAAGAGTGTCATATGCACAGTCAATAAATTTAGCTACTAGTATTGTTAGGTAGAAAAATCTTTGCATTTGACATTTGCAGACAGCATAGTTATATTCCCATAAGAAAAAAAAACTTGATATGCAGTCTATAGAAATTTTGACTGTGATGATTTACTTTTATATTTTATTCTACATAGGACATCCGAGCTTTTGACTCCCGTTTCTCCAATATCAGAACATTGGATGACTTATTTCCTCCTAGAAGTATGGTCTTTATGCTGGGAACCCCCTATTATGGCTGCACTGGAGAAGTTAGTTCCTGTTACTGTTATTAAATTTCTTTCTGGTTTCAAGTTGATACAATTATTTAACTTCTCTTCACTTAGGTGTAAAATAAAATGTAATACTGAAGGGGGAAAATAAAGAATTCATTCATCTAACTTATGAACAGTATTTGGCTATATATCTTTAGTCTTGTGCAGTTGGGGTCAGGAAGTGGGGGAAATTAGAATTCAAGTCCTGATCTCTTTTTTAGTAACTTTGTTTATTGTGGTGGTATGGATGAAGCAGTTCTGAATTTATTTTAGATGTATTATAGTGTTGATGAATTTGTAAATGTATTGATGTTTTGGAGAACTCCAGTTCTCACATGGAGATAGGTACTTGCAAATATGGAATGGGAGAATGTAAGAAAGAACCTGTGAGGATAGATTAGAATGGGAGGTATTCATGTGAACTCATGATTTCTAAAATACATGTATATGTATGTATATAGACGTGTATATGTGTACATATTTATATTTGTGTACACATGAATGCATATATGCCTATACGTACATGTGTTTTCTACCTCTATTTGCTCAAACGGAGAAGCAGCAAAGACACCCTGATAGCAATGAACACATATAATGCCCAGGTCTTGACCTCTGATTTCATACCTCACTGAAAGGAACAGGGCTTCTCAGAGAAATGGCTGATTACAGGGCTGGAGCAGGGTAGGTACAAGATGAGCCTGGAACCTCTTATTATGCCAGAAAGCAGAGAAGTGCTCAAAAGAATGATGGGAACATATTACATAAACACACGAACCAGGTTGAATCTGGGACAGTTTGAGTACCAAAATACAGTAATGAATTATAAACTATTAGAGGGAAAATAGGAATTCATGATCCCACAGTGATAATATATAAATAAATAAATAGGAAGGGGTGGGCTCTTGCTTATAGTATCATGTAAGCGTAAATATGGAGAAAGTGCTGGAGTTGGAAAATGATCATTTTGCAACCATTATGATAAAGATTGAATCAAGCAAGAATCATCATTGGAAGATAAATCTAGGGAGAATTTTTGTTCAGGAGAAGGATATTTTCATGGTCTTAGAAAGTGTCTCCTCACAGACTGTTTGTTAGTGACAAGCAAAACAAAAACGCAGTGTCTGATCCTAGTCTGGATCCTGTAGTGAGGGAGAAGAGTTTTCCCTAAAGGACATTTTTAGGTCAACTGACAAAATTGGAATATGGACAGTAGATTACATAAAAGTATCAATTTAAATTTATGTACCTAATAACTGTACTGTGGTTATACAATCAAATGCCCTTCTTCTTAGGAAATATATACTGAAATATTTAGGGGTAAGAGATGTGATACCTGTAATATACCCTTAAAAAGTTCAGAAAAATAATTACTTGTATGTAAATACACAGACACAGAGCACAAATGTTAAAGCAAACGGAGTAAAATGTTAACCATAGGGTGAATCTGAGTAAATGTTTTTCAAGTGTTCTTTGACTTTTTATTTTTGCCACTTTTTGGTAGTTTGAAATTATTTGCAAATAAAACTTTTTTTTTAAAGACTGGTAATAGCTGTTAAAGCAAGGATACAGTGACTCAAATTTATAGCGTAATCATATCCATTTACAAATTCCAAGAGAATTTCCACTATCCAACTTTATTGTCTTACTGTATTTCAGAAATAATAAACACTGTTCAAAGAAGTAGAAAAATAAGTAAATAAAATGTAGTGAAAGAGACTAAAACATACTGTGATTTTTTTCCCCCCAAGGTTCAGGAGTCAGGGGATGTGATTACAGAAGGTAGGATTCGTGTGGTTTTCAGTATTCCATGTGAACCCAATCTTGATGCTCTAATACAGAACCAGCATGTGAGTACTGTGGTTCGTATTGTTTGATTTAGAACTGGTGAACTTTAAAAATGTTAGAAGGATATTTTTGCCACCTCCTTTGAATTTATTGCAAATATTTTACTTAATACTGACTAAACTTTCAAAGTTGCATCTAGTATTATTTAAAAATAAGTATGGAATCCGTGCTCAAAACTTCATGCAGATCTTTGGGAGAAAAATCACTGAAATACCATTACTAATCTATAGTGGTTATTATGGGTTATTGTGTTCAAGCTTATAAGCAGCACATTGATTAGCATACCCTCTAGGAATAGACTTAGGTTTTTTAAACCTTTCGTAATTCATCAAAGCCTGCATTTTTAGTTACAAGTGATATATGGCCTTCCTTCAAAGGTTATATGTCTCTACTCAGCCAAAGATGAAGAGTCCCTACAGAAAATTGGGAAATTGCATTTAACTTCACAGCATCCTTTTTCAGGACCTTTTTCTCCAAAGATGTTCACTGGCCTCCTTTTATTTTTCCCTGTTAAAATGGGTGGAAGATCCTGATGTCTGTCATTTGTTCTTACTGATTGTTTGGATAATTAACTTGACTGAAATTAATTCGCAATCAGCCAGCTATTGCTACTTACACTTTTATTTTCTCTAATGGTAAAATCTAAAGATTTATATCTTGTGAAATGAATTTAAGGCATTAGGCATTAGCATACCCATGAGGAAACTTTATGGGAGGCAGAGATGTCCCTAAAACTTGCCATCAGTTCTCTTTTGGAGAAAGAATTCAGAAAGCATAGTCAGGAAACCGAGAGAGTGGTCCATTAGATAACAAAGCTAGTGCTCTGTTCTGGGAGACAATGGAGATAGAAGAACTTGGGTTCCTTCATCCCTCCCTTTTTCTAGATCTGAGGGAGCCTTTTCCCTTCCTAGTGCACAGTGTTGCTCTGCATGCCTTCTCCAGTGTACTTTCTTTCTCTTTACATACCTTCTGTAACTTTTACTCAAGCTTTCTTCTTTCTTTACCCCAATGTTCTCAGCTTTTTATTTTACATTTCTAGGATATTTGTGATGATTTTGTTTGTTGTTTTTTTTTTTTTAAAGATTGGCACCTGAGCTAACAAATGTTGCCAATCTTCTTTTTTTTTCCTCCTGCTTTTCTCCCCAAATCCCCCCAGTATATAGTTGTATGTTGTTTAGTTGTGGGTCCTTCTGGTTGTGGCATGTGGGCTGCCACCTCAGCTTGGTCTGATGAGCAGTACCATGTCTGAACCCAGGATCCGAACCAGCGAAACCCTGGGCCCCGAAGTGGAGCACAGGAACTTAACCACTTGGCCACGGGGCCAGCCCCTGATTAATTTTTAATTATACCATGACATAGTATTTCTCAAGAGGAGTACTGTTGGTATTTGGGACAGGACAATTATGTGTTAAATAGGACTGTCTTGTATATGACAGGACAGTTGACATCCTTGGCTCCTGGACACTAAATGCTAGTAGCCAGTGCCAGTTATTGTAACTGAATGTGCCCAACACATTTTTCCAAATACTTATTAGAAAAGTGGTACTACCTGTGGTAGAGAACTGTTACCTTAATTCTTCCTATCTATTCCAGAAAGAATACTGGATTTATCTGTATTATTTCTAAATCTGATAATGTTCTTGATGAAAAAACTATGTTGCATTCTTTGCTAACATATTGATATATTTTAGTAGTGACTTTATATTCCAGCCCACTGAAAAAATTTACCCATTTGGGAGTCGTTGTAGACATGATCATTAAAAATAAAATGGTGACTGAATTAATTCCTTACCAATCTCTGGAAATTTTGTTTTTGTTGGTGATAAAATATCTTTTTACTCATATAAAATATTCATATAATTCATATAAATATTAATGTATATAGATATAAAATTCATATAAAATAAATTTGTATGTATTATGTACATTATGTTAGGAGTATATGATAGATTACACTTGTTGGTACTGGATTTGTGAGTAATTGGCTTTTTGGTTAAAAATTATATGATCTGATACTTTTTTTTAGTTTGACAGTCTTCATAGTGTCTTCAGTATACAAATTAAGGTTACATTTCATTGACTGTATTAATTATGAGCCTATACATACTTGTTACTTTCACATGATAGTAAATCTTAGGGGAAACAAATGTTATTTATATCCATATATGAAGGACACTTCAATTTTGCTCAGTAGCAACTAGTTGGCTGACATATTCATATTTTAATTCAATGTAATCATTATCAAGGCTCATTTTGTCCGAGGTACTTTGCCAGTCTCTACTTGGAATATGAAAGTTATTTTTTTTTTTAAATAGTTCTTGCCTTCAGAGTTTGCCATTTAGTACTTAGAGTAAAGTTTATTTTTCGAGAGAGTTTCACAAACTGTATATTTCCTCCCCTTTTCATCCATCCTTGGGAATTCTGTCCTTAAAGGAGAGAGAGGAGCAGAAAAATTCTGCCTACAGATCCTTTCAAAAAAAAAAGGGGGAAATGGATCACTTACTTTTGAGAATCGTTATATTGCCACAGTCCAATGGTTAGTGATGTCTTGATTATCTCCAGCTTTTAAAGGTAAAGAAATAAGATTGAATGCTTTGTGTTTCCATAATTGACCTTTTTGTTTTTATATTTAAAGAAATATTCTATAAAGTACAACCCAGGATATGTGTTGGCCAGTCGCCTTGGAGTGAGTGGATACCTTGTTTCAAGGTTTACAGGAAGTATTTTTATTGGAAGAGGATCTAGGAGAAAGTAAGTTTATGTCAGAGAAATTTGAATTTTCTTTAAAATTATGCATAAATTCCTCTGATGGTGATCTTTCATCTAAATGGCACATGTTTTAGGTGGTTGGAAAGACAGTTCTTATTTTTAGCTAACAAATTGAACCTTGAAAAAAGGTATCAGAGGGCATGTGTGAATCTCAGTAATATATTTCCTTGTATTTTCTTATTTCATTCTCCTCTCTACATAATCTATTTATATGCTTTGTTAACTTGGGTTTCAAAGCCTTTCCTCTAGTTTTTCAATTACTGCTCCTTTGGAAATAACTGTAATAACTAAAATATAGAAGAACAATCAAAACTAAGCTTTTCTAAGAGTTGAAAGCAAAACTTTTTATTGTTTGACAAAGACACAAATTTAAAACTTGTGTGTGTGTGTGTGTGGTTTAAATTCAGCCCTCATGGAGACCATAAAGCAAATGTGGGTTTGAATCTCAAATTCAACAAAAAAAATGAGGAGGTACCTGGATATACTAAGAAAGTTGGAAGTGAATGGATGTATTCATCTGCAGCAGAACAACTTCTTGCCGAGTACTTAGAGAGGTGAGTGTCTAACAAGATCCTACCAGGCATCCAAAAACGTAGGAACGTAGTAACTGTTTATTTTGCCTTTCTGATATCAGTTTTAGAGGAAAGATGTTTCTTTAGTAAAATGTGACGTGATACATATAAACCTAATTTTGTGTCACAGAGCATCATAGCCATTAGCTTAAATAGAGTAGAAAAATACTGTACTTAAGTTATTTGAAATGAAAAACTATGATGAGAATTGGCCTCCTTTTAGTTAAAATTTTCCTTAACTTGCTGTCAAAATTATTTACTGCTCTGCATGTCTGTGTCAGTAGTAAGGAAATTAGTGTGGATAAACAGTACAACTCTTGGAGTAGTGGATTTTCCTGAATCTTAAAATGCTGCCAGACAGTAGATTACTATCCTAGAATTACTGAGTTTTATTGCTGAAAAATGGTCTACGAGATCAACAAGTGTCAACTCCTCATTATAAAAATGAGAAAACTGAGTACCAAGGTTAACTTAGTTATTCCATAACAAAGATTTATAGGAAGGATCTTTACTTCTGGTTCACAGTTGAATGTTCTTTCCATTGATCCACTGGTTTCTAATCTTCTCATATTCGAGGATCCCTGTGTTAGTTTCCTAGGGCTGCCAGAACAAAGTACCACATACTGGTTGGTTTAAAACAGCAGTGATTTATTGTCTCCCAGTTCTGAAGACTGAAAGTCCAAAATCAAGGTGTGGCAGGGCCATGCTTCCTCTGAAGGTGCTAGGGAAGGAACTGTTCCGTACCTCTCCTATATTTTTGTAGCCTTATGCGTCTGTTTCTTGGCTTCGTGCGCATCCTTCATCTTCACGTGGTGTTCTCCCTGTGTGTCTTCACATCCTCTTTCCTCTGTGTATGTCTGTCTCTGTGTCCAAATTTCCCCTTTTTATAAGGAAAACCAGTCATACTGGATTAGGATCCATCCTAATGACCTCATTGTAATTTGTTTCTTCTATAAAAACTATATTTCCAAATAAAGTCACGTTCTGAGGTACTAGCACTTAGGAACTTCAGTATATCTTTTTAGGAGGAGAACACAATGCACTCCCATATTACCATCAGAAAATTTAGATGATTTCTTCTATTCACTTCCATATTTCTTTAAAACGTCTTATTTAGACTACTTTTCCTTGATTTTTCCACTTTTCATATGCATTGATTTCCTACCGTGAAAGATGAAGCTTTAGCTCTCTTCCACTGACCCCATTCCCCGTTGGCTCACCTCCCTGCACACATACATGTTTCCCCTCGCACTACAGTTTTATCACAAGTTTTGATTAAATCTGTATTTAAATTTGATTTAAATCTGCTGTTAAAAAGTCCTGTGCCATTCTGATTCTGAATCTTTGTGTGACCTATTTTCATTTTCTGAAATCTTTTTAGTCTTCCTTTTACCAGTGCTGTTTAATAATGGGATGATGTGTGCCTTAGTATGGCTCTTTTTTCTTTCCTTTTGCTGTTCAGCCATTTCAGACTTGAAATTGATGCCCTTCCATTCTGAGAAACTTTCTTATATTATTTTTTTCATAATTTCCTCTTTACCATTTTTTCCTGCTGTCTTTTTCTGAGACTCCTGTTAGTTAAATGTTAGACCTTCTGGATTAATCCTCTTACTTTTCTTCTCTTTTCTCATTTGTTTTCTATATCATTATACTCCTAGTCTGTGGGAGATTTCTTCCACTTTATCTTATTTTCTACCATTTTTAAATTTCTATTTGATTTAATCATTTTTTATTTCTAAAAGTGTGTCCTTATTCTCTGGTATTCCTTTTTCATAGCATCTTGTTTTATAATGAATGAATATCTTATTTTATTTCTCTGAAGACAGTAATTCTAGATTTTTTTTTCTGTTCTCTATATTTTTTATTTTCTCCAAATTGATTTCTTTTTCTGTTTGATTTGATCTCTCCTTTCATGTTAAAGATTTTTTTTCACTTGTCTGGTAGTTCTTTGGTATCCAATTATATTTAAGAGTGAGGCAGTGAAACGCTGACTTGGGGGCCAGCCCCCTGGCGGAGTGATTAGGTTCGCGTGCTCCACTTCAGCAGCCCAGGGTTCCCTGGTTCAGATCCTGGGCGCGGACATGGCACTGCTCATCAAGCCATGCTGAGGTGGCATCCCACATGCCACAACTAGAAGGACCCACAACTAGAATATACAACTGGGTACCCAGGAGCTTTGGGAAGGAAAAGGAAAAGTAAAATCTTTAAAAAAAAAGAAAACCACTGGGGCTGGCCCCTTGGCCGAGTGGTTAAGTTCGCGCGCTCCGCTGCAGGCAGCCCAGTGTTTCGTTGGTTTAGGTCCTGGGCGCGGACATGGCACTGCTCATCAAACCACGCTGGGGCAGCATCCCACATGCCACAGCTAGAGGGACCCACAACGAAGAATATGCAACTATGTACCGGGGGGCTTGGGGAGAAAAAGGAAAAAATAAAATTAAAAAAAAAAAAAACAATGATAATCAGAGTTTAGTTTGCTTTGATGGGGCTTGTCAGGTGGGATTTGTCTATTGCTGCAGAGGACCTTTAAATATCACTACGTATATGTATATCTTTTCTCTTTGGCTGGCTAGTTTTCCCAGACAGGTATCCTCCAGCCTTTTGCTTGGAGGACAGATGTGGGAGACAAAACTGACATCCAGTGTTCTGTTAATTAACCAGGGAAAGGGGGTCTCATGACGTAGCAGATACTGTGATACACTCCCGCAGATCTCCCTGCAGGACTGAAGGACCTATTCCCTTGGCGGCAGGACTACTGCTGTCTGACAGCCCTCAGCTGTGAGTCCTTTTCAGGAATTACCTGGCAGGAGAGAACCGCTTCACCTGAAGTGATGTCTCCTTCCCACAACAGCCACAGACCTAATACCTGATCAGCAAGGTTTAAAGGCCCAGCCACACTGATTGCCCCAGTTCAGGACAAGTCTAGTTTGAGATCTCTGTGGGACTGGCCAACGAGTTCATTAAGAATAAATCACAGCCCAACTTCTCCCTGTGCCCAATTCTGTTTCCTTCCCTTTTTTCTTCCCTTCCACAGGTGTTGATTCCACAAGCACTTGCTGATAAACTTCCTGAATGTGTATCTCCATCTCAGAGTCAGCTTGCTAAAGATGTTATACTTGCCAGCCTGCTTCCTAGTGGCACATTGCATAGTAGTTACACTTTCATTAATCCCGTCTTCAGTATGACACCTATCCTCTCCTCACACCCCACCCACCCACCCACCCAAATCCCTTTGCCTCGTATACCCAAGGCTAGAGCAGCCCCTATTCAACCTCTCCAGAGGATAAACTGCAGGTCTTATGCTGGGGCGGAAAGTAACCACATGACTGTCTAACTGCTTGTTATACAAATTTTTGACCAAAAGCCTATTAAACTTCACCCAATACTACAGCGTTAAAATGTACCTGGAGCCCATAATTCCTGAGCTTTCGCGGACTTCTACAGTTCAAGTTGCTTCTTGTTGACTTCTCACACTGGTGGCTTAAGGTGCAACTTATTCCTCTTTGTCAAATTAGTTAACTCTTATCCATCCAGTTTCCAATTTCTAAAATTTTGTTGACAACTCATATATTCTGTCAGATTCTCTGCTTCTCTCTTCACCTGTCTTTCTAAGTCTATACCCTTTTTTATACTTTACTGTTCTTTTAGTGGTTTGGGAACGGAGCAAAAATAAGCATCTGTAGTCTACTATGTGTATTTGAAAGTCCTGCACTATTCAGGGAGCAATGAAGTTTTGAGGAATGTCAAAAGAAACTTTTAGTGTATTTCACTTGCTCTGTTGTGGAGTGCTACAGCTTTGTTGTGAAAATTAGAAAGTGAACGTGTAGATATTATTTTTGTTCATTTATCACCTGCCATTATGATCTCAGAAGGATAGAGTCAGTAATTAAAGTTTATAAGTAATGGAAGTTTGTTACAGTTTATTCATTTCTCCCTCAGCTTCTTAGTTTTTTGAAGGCCTATGAATACTTTCAAATCTTTTAGTCTCTATCCCTTACTAATACTCTGTATATAATAATCAGTTCTCAGTGTATTTTATGTGTCCCCTTAGGATCCATAATTATTTGACAGGAAATTTATGTTAAGTTAGCCATATATATTTTTTAAAGCAATATTTTCGTTGTTTGTTTGGCTAGAGCTCCAGAATTATTTTGTTATATAGCCAAAAATAGCCAAGAGGATGTGTTCTATGAAGATGACATTTGGCCTGGAGAAAACGAGAACGGGTAAGCAAAATTTGTTGTATTTATTGCCCATAGTTCAACTTAGTGGTTCTAGTGAAAGGTATAGCAACTGGTTTATCAAGAATTTATATTACTTTTTTGGAGAGGGTTTTGTATTGTTTTCTCTTGGCTTTAAGATCTTAGTGTAATTTTTTATTTTATTTACATCAGTAAAGTACTCTTAAACTAATTTTTGTGATTTTTTTATTACTGAGAAGTAACATGGCTGTATTTATATTAGATTTATAAATAGTCCCAATTAAGTGTAGTGATTAATTATTATACATTTAATGCTTTTATAATTCACAGCCCTCATTTCTTTTATGTAAACCCTCTGAAGCTTTTAATCAATATGAAAAAATTATTGTTTTTTTAATGTAGTGCTGAGAAAGTTCAAGAAATTATTACATGGCTAAAGGGACATCCTGTCAGTACGTTGTCTCGTTCTTCTTGTGATTTACAAATTCTGGATGCAGCTATTGTTGAGAAAATCGAAGAAGAAGTTGAAAAGTGCAAGGTACTTATTTTCAGTAACCAAGATTATTGATGATATTTGAAGTTAAATGGACTATATGTTATTCTACAAATAATTTATTTGTATTTCAACCAAATAAAACATACTCAGTGATTCTGATTTATGTCAAATTATCCTATAATTTTGGGGGCCAGCCCCATAACCTAGTGGTTAAATTCAGCACACTCCACTTCAGCAGCGCAGGTTCACAGGTTCAGATCCTGGCCATGGACCTACACCACTCATCAGCCATGGTGTGCCAACAACCCACATAAAACAGAGGAAAATTGGCACAGATTTTAGCTCAGGTCTAATCTTCCTCACTCAAGAAGGGAGGAAGATTGAAAACAGATGTTAGCTCAGGGCACATCTTCCTCAGCAAAAAAGTAAATTAAATAAAATGGAAATTATACTATCCTTTAATTTTAAAAAATTTTCTAGTCATTTCCAGGGTCCATTAGTAAGTTTATCTGAATAAATATAAATGCACTTCAATATACAGAAGGCATAGCATTTAAAGTTTATGTCCTTATAGTGTTTCTAATTTTAACAATATTTTGTGAATCTAGTCAAAATAGAAAGTTTGTGATTGAGAAATAAAGTTAATTCCCTATTCCTTCCTATTCTGAGTTCTTTAAAGATACAATTCATCTTTTTATAGAATATAAAAATTTTATTTAATTCACTTTTACAGAACCATTCTCAAATATACTTTTCCACTCACAAACTCATTCAGTTACTAAGTATTTTTGAAATCCCACTCAATCTATCCTATTTTTTTATGTCTTGATTTTAAAAAGCAATAATGTTCTGTGTAGGCTTAACTATTTTATCTATTTCTGATTCCCTGTCTTGATGTCATAGAAAATGGATTGATTATATTCCTTTTTTTAACTTTCAATTTTATTTTTCACACATTTCCCTTTTTATTAAAATGATACCGCTTTACTAACACAGCATTGTCTTATTTGAGCTAGTAGCAGAGTAAGTTGAGGTCTGGCCTCTGAAGTCATCTTCCCTCATCCCTCTTTCAGTACCTTCTATCTTAGGCAAGATAGTTGACCTTTCCATGCCTCCATTTCCTCATTGGTAAAATGGGAGTAGAATAATACCTACCTCATGGGGTCATCAAGAAGATTAACTGAGTTAATACATGTAAACTCCTGCTAATAATGCCTAGCTATTATTATTAATGCCTAATATTGCTTAGCTATTATTATTTGAATTCTGTTATCACACATTCAAGAGCTATGAATAGAGTCTGGAAAATCACCGCTAGATGACTCTTTCTTTTTAGGAAAAAATATAAGGCTCAGTGCCAAGAGTTTGATGTTTTTGAAAGGTCATTGGTATTCTGCTGAGGATAGAAAATTATGGTTCTTTTTAATTGTCTTTCAATGTAGAGTAAAATCTATTTGTCTAGCATTGTTTTTGAAATGTTTCCACTTAACAAAAGTTTACAACTTTAAGCCCCCAAATTTTAGTTTAACCCATTTGGATACAGAGCTTTCTAAAATGTTTTACACATTTCCACTTACTTATAAAGAGAAGATACATATACAAGCTTGTAGTCTATTAGTTTGATTACAATTTTTAAATGTGTGCATATAGATAAGACAGGAATTTTTTAAAAGACTGTTAATGCATCAAGGAGGAGCAGTTATGAGTGATTTTCTTTTCCTCTTAGTGTTATAATGTTATTAGGGTAATAAAAGAAGGAGGAAAAACTAAAAGATAAGCACAAACTTCTGAACATAGTTTAAACTTTTCTTTATAATACACAGTCATCATTAAAAGTATCAGTAGTTTTCTCATTGGAAGTGGTTCCCAAGCCCAGTTAATTATCAAAATTACTAAGAGAGGGGGCCAGCCCAGTGGCGCAGTGGTTAAATTCACACATTCCGCTTCGGCAGCCTGGGGTTTGCCAGTTCAGATCCCGGGTGTGGACCTACACACCGCTTGTCAAGCCATGCTGTGGCAGGCATCCCACATAAAATAGAGGAAGATGGGCATGGGTGTTAGCTCAGGGTCAGTCTTCCTCAGCAAAAAAAAGGAGGAGGATTGGCAGCAAATGTTAGCTATGGGCTAATCTTCCTCAAAAAAGAAAAAGGTTACTGATAAAGCTTTTTAAAAAAAACACACACTCTGGATTCTACCTCTAGAGCAGTACTTCTCAAACTTGAGTTGCCAACAGATCACTGGGGGATCTTGTTAAAATACAGATTCTGATTCAGTAGGTCTAGGATGAGGCTTGAGATTCTGCATTTCTAGCAAGCTCCCAGGTGAGCGCATTTTGAGTAACCAGGCCCCAGAACTTCTCATTTAGTAGCTCTGGGTTGGGGCCTCTTGTGAAATTCCCTGGTTTGTTAATTTGCCTAATGAATCAGGTTTGAGTGCCATATCCTCTAATCAATGCTATAATGTAACAATGCCTAGGGATGTATTAGAGCTCACAGGGTTGTTTTTTCATATGCAATACCCCAGTAACAGTTCTTGTGTCTGCTTTTTAAAATTACTTTAGATCTCTTCTCATATTCTTTCTTCTTCTTGCTGTTGTCAGTGGGCACCAATTGTGCTCTGTTGGTCTGTCTAGTCTGCTGTGGGCTGGAACATAGACAGCTGGTCACTATGGTCTTCCCTGTTCACTCTGTTTAAAATTGCAGTCTCTCCCCCACTGCTGATCTTCCTTACCTACTTTATTTTCCTCTATGCTTTTTACCTTCAAACATGTTATATATTTTCCTTATTTTGTTTCTTGTATGTCTCTCTCAACTAGAATAAAAAAACAATTCACTGTTTTATCCCCAGCACCCAGATCAATACATAGCACATAAATGGAACTCAGTAAATATCTGTTAAAAGAATAAATGAAATGTCTCTATCGTAAAAGAAAATAGACTCTGTTTAAAGCTTGAGCATTTTACAATGTATAAATCATGAACTCTATAGTTTATGGGCTCAGTAGGTTGGGGCTGTTTTATGCCCTTTTGTACTTATTTCCATAAGCCATGTTCTAAAGATAGGTGACTGCCATATAAGTAAACTGCTGCCATTTTTCTTCTTAGGAAGGAATTCACTTTCTGAAAAAATTTAACGTGAACGCTAGTTATGGATTGCAGTGGATGTAAATTATTCTCATATTTTTATTAGGTAGAACAGGTAATATTATTTCCATCTTACAGACGGAAGGAAGCTGATGCTTAAGTGTGAGTTCTCAGAATTAACAAACAGCAAAGATAGGAGAAAACTCTTCCAGCATTGTTTAGATAATCAAAATATTCCAAGATCAAAGCCAATTTCACAATAGATTCCAAAAGCAAGGACTTGTTAAATGAATGCCACCTTAATTTTTATAAGTAGCCATAAAAACCCACCATATTGACATAGGTCAATCCTTTATACCTTTTTTTCCTTTAATATAAATTTTTGTTGACTATTGTATACAATTCTTTTCAGGGTAAAAAAGCATTTGAACAGGATAGCATTTACAGAAAGTTCAAAACAGACAAATCTAATCTTTTGTGTTAGACATAAGGTTACTTTTGGGAAGGTTAGTAACTGGGAGGGAATTCCTTTTATTTTTTGTGAGGAAGATTGGCCCTGAGCTAACATCTGTGCCAGTCTTCCTCTACTTTGTATGTGGGATGCCTCCACAGTGTGGCCCTTGAGTGGAGTAGGTCTGTGCCCAGGATCTGCACCCGCAAACCTGGGCCGTCGAAGCAGAGCGCACAGAACTTTAACCACTTGACCACGCAGCTAGCCCCTGGGAGGAAATTTTTATCTTGTGCTTAGTAATGTTCTCTTTCTTCAACTGGGTGTGGTTATATGTAGATATTCTCATACTGTAAAAATTCATCAGACTGTATGCTTACAATTTTGCACTTTTATATATGTCTTATTCTTCAACAAAATAAATTTACTTTAAAAAAATTTTTAAGTGAGAATTTGTTGCTCCTTGCTGCATCTAAAGAACGTCAATTATTCTTAAAAGTAATCATTTTATTTGGCTTTTTAAAATTCAGATATGTTCAAGTACTGAATAATAATTTTATGATTTAATATTTTTTAAATATTTTTAAAACTTTCTTTTCTCAGCAAAGAAAGAATAATAAGAAGGTGCGAGTGACAGTAAAGCCCCATTTGCTGTATAGAGTAAGTTTCCTATCCAAGAATTCACAGTTGTTTTTATTTTGAAAGTATAGAAGGAACAAAATGTTTTCAATATATTAGTAGCCAAACTTTTTAAACTAGAATTGATAATAAAAATTAAAGCTTTCTTCTCTTCAGCCTTTAGAACAGCAGCATGGCGTCATTCCTGATCGGGATGCAGAATTCCGTCTCTTTGACCGTGTTGTAAATGTGAGAGAGAACTTTTCAGTTCCAGTTGGCCTTCGGGGCACCATCATAGGAATTAAAGGGGGTAATGTCTCAACAGTTGACGTGTCTTCAACTGCATCTATGTTGTAAAGTAAAACACAAATTTGTATGTTTTATATCTAAGCAGAGAGCAACAGTAAGTCAGGAAAAAAACTAAATCTTTTTACATTTTAGTTAATTTTTTTCAGTTTAATTTTCAGAGACAATTTTCCTTTTCTGTCTCGTGTAATCATCTGGGAATGCTTTACAAAGGGGGATGTAGGGGCCAGCCCAGGGGCACAGCGATTAGTGCACGTGTTCTGCTTTGGCAGCCTGGGGTTCGCTGGTTCGGATCCCAGGTGTGGACATGGCACTGCTTGGTAAGCCATGCTGTGGGAGGTGTCCCACATGTCAAATAGAGGAAGATGAGTACGGATGTGCGCTCAGGGCCAGTCTCCCTCAGCAAAAAGAAGAGGATTGGCAGCAGATGTTAGCTCAGGGCTAATCTTCCTCAAAAAAAGGGTGGGGGGGAGTTGAGGAAATGCTGCTGAGAATTTGGTCACATAGATGTAGCATATTAAAATTATATAAGACCTTGGCAGGTCTACCTATGTTTTTCATGAAACCAAGAGAAAAGTTTCATCACTTCCTCTTAGTTAGGCTTTCATCTAATCTTGCTCAGAGCTTTACCTTAATTGTCATTGTAATCTCTTGATTTCTGTTGAGAAATAAATAAACATGACATATGAGCTTATTTACAGTTAAAAGATTTGAAAATTAAATATGCGTATTAATTTGATTTTTATGAATACAACTAGATTATATATATAAAACAGACCTATCAATCTGTTGCTTAACAGTGTGCATGTAGTTAACAGTACTGAACACTTAAAAATGGTTAAGCTGGTAAATTTTATGTTATGTATTTTTTACCAAAAAAAAAAAAGATGAGATAGTGAAGGGAAAAGGGAAGAAGCAGCGAAAGATCTAAATGTGCCTCAAAGGGATGCCTGGAGTGAGCCGCTTTGCAGCATAGGTTCCAGAAGAAGTCACCCCAGCATGAAGCAGCACATCAGGTGCCTAGGGGTCAGGGTGCTGTCAGCACTGTCCTTCCATGTCCCAGGCAGTCAACCTTGGTCTCACTGCCCAGAAAGGAGGAAAACAGGAAGGCCGTGAATCTAAGAGAACTGCTTATTTAGTTCCAGCGATGTGCCAGGCACTTTGACATTTTGCATTAAACCCTCAAAACCACCTGAGAGGTAGGTGTTATTTAATTTTACCTGAGAGGTTAAGTGACCCACCTGTGTCTACACAGGTACGTGGCAGAGCTGGGATTTAAACTCTTTCCCCTGATTCTTACCTAACTATGAGCAGTGGTTCTCCACATTTTCCATCTGCACATACTATTGGGGTCTTCCCTGCCCACATACCTCTAAAAGAGAATTTTTTTCCATGATTCTTTTTTGAATTTCTTGGATGTATTTCTGGCCGCTGGAAATGGAGACAGGAGGATCTGGGCTAGGGATGGTGGGGGTCAGATGGGTGCAGTGAAGCAACCCTCCTGCTGCTCAACCACTGCATCAGCTGCTCAGCTTTCAGCTTTATTGGATTGTACTCTAGCTTGTCCTGATAAGGCCTTGGGACTCCAATAACATCAAAGTTTCCTTTCTCCTGACAGCTCCTAACAGTAATAGTGACCGCTTGGAATGTTGTCTTGAGAAGGATTTTAAAGATACACGTAAGGCGAAGTGGAAAAGAGCTCTGTCATTGATCAACCATGTCTGCGTAGACACAGAATATGAAGGGAAATATTTTGTCATTACTGCCCTCAGCTGAGACCTCATCTCCATAGTCATCTCCACTAAAGGGAATGAACAGTCCTCTTGTCAATAATCTTTTGAGGAAGTGGCCCCTTCCTGAGACAGGAAATGAGAGCCTAGAAGGTGGGACTTAAGCCTTCAGAGGAGAAACTGCTGCCTCTCATTGAGCCTCACTTTCTTGGGTTTAGATTTCAGGTAAAAGTGTCAGGTTGAAAGGGCTAGCTGGGTGGTGGAGAATGGGTGAGCTCTGCAAGCCTGCTTGCAACTGGGCAACAAGAGCCTGGGGATGGGAGAGACATCCGCTCACCCCTACCACGGGCTAGCATGGGATCAGATATTGTATTAGTCGGGGTTCTCCAGAGAAACACAACCAACAGAATAGAAAGAGGATGGAGAGAAAGAGCGAGTCAATTCTGAAGTTATATGGTAAACTTTATTATTAATTTGAGCTTAGAATTCAAAACTTTATTATAGCTAATTACTTCACTTTACCTTGGTGTTTTTGGTAAATTTAATCTCCTCAGATATGTCTCATCATGCTCTCTGCCAAATTTATTCTTCTCTGCTTCTCTCTGAGTTGATTGCACCACTGTCTTTCCCATGTGCCTCATGTCTCAATTATGACATCTGTAATCTACCAAGTCATCTCAGCCAGAACTTTGGAATCATCTTTGGCATCTCCATCCTTTTTATCACCACAAGTCACGAACTCCTGCCAGTTCTATCTAATGATGTATCTATTCTCTCTAGTTTATTTCTCTCATTACTGCCATGTTTTCAAATCTTCATTGTCTTTTGTCTATCTTAATGCAAGACCCTCTAAACTGCAAATTGCAAAATTATCTCTTCTGTTAGCTCTTATTATGAATAATTTCAAACATATACAAAAGCAGTGAGAAAAGTCTAATTAATCCTCACAGCATTTAATTTTAAATATTATTATTTTACCTTAAATTAATACCAGTAAGGTAATCTGTGAGCTTATTTCCTTTTCATTTACTGTCTGTATTCCCCCACACTGTTTTTTGATAGTTGTAATGCTTCTTACACGCCACAAAGTTATATGCTGGTTTTTTGTAATGTGATTTTTAAATCTTTCTCTTTTTTTTAACAGCTAATAGAGAAGCTGATGTACTATTTGAAGTATTATTTGATGAAGAATTTCCTGGAGGCTTAACAATAAGGTTTGTGTTTAAGATGATAGTTATACTTTGTGAAGATCTCCATGTGGCCATTGACTTTACATTACTTATTTGTCCACGATTTGAATTCCTGTTATGTGTGAGACATCATACTTGCTACTGGCAGTGTAACAGTGAATGTCAGACATGCTTTCTACTCTCATGGAGATTTCATTTTAGTGAGGGAGATAATTAAGTAACTGATTACGGTATTATTTAATTAAAATGTGACAAGTGCTGGGAAGGAGAAGTTCAGGTTTCTATAAGAGTATGACCTGTCCTGAGAGTTCCAGAAAAACTTTCTTGAGGAAGTGATATGTAAGATGGGACTTAAAGAATGAATAATAATTAACTGGGGGAAGAGGGAGGAAGAGTGACACGTGGTCAGGAAGAGGGAATAGAATATGCAACAAAGGACATTTTCAGTCATTCAAAAAAACTGAAAGAATGCAAGTGTGTCTGAATTTCAGCAACTACGTAAGATTAGAGTAAGAGAGAAAAGCAAGGACCACACTGTGCAGGAACTTGTAAGCCAACTTTCAGGACATGTTAGGGATCTTAGTATCTTCTTGGTCTTCATCCTCAAAGCAATGTAAAACCATCAGAATCAGAGGTGTGCCATGATCAGATTTGCATTTTTTTAGTGGTTAAATAACTTGAGGAGTAGAAACAGTCTTTGAATTTAGTGACGTGTTATAAGTCTTTGTCACCTGTTTTAGCAGAGTTGTGGCTGCTCAAGCTAGATTGTGGTGGTTTGAGGAGTGAATGGCAGATGTAATAATGGAGGCAGGAGATTGAGCTGAACTCTGAGAAGTTCGACTATGAAGAGAAGAAACAATAACTGGAAGTTAGAAGGTTTAAAGGAAGAGGATTGTCTTGTTTGTTTTTAGTCTAACACGGGTGAGACTTAGGCAAGTCTGTTTTGGGGGAACACTAATAGAAAGTTTAAAGTTGCAGGAAAAAAGATCATGATAGAGTAAGAGGCACCGTGGAATATTAGAAAGGGTGAGCTCTCCCACTTAAGCTTTGTGTTACCTTGGGTAGGTCAGTTAAAAGCATTTTGACTCTCAATTTCCTCATTTTTGGTGAAGATACATACTTCACTAAGTTATTGTCAGGATTAAATGAAATCCTTACCAGTTTTCCTTTCTCTCTTCTGAAAACCAATTAGAAAACTGAACTGAAATTAGCTTAGTTTCTTTTTCTCCTCTATTTTGATTAGTGGGTAATTAAAATAAAAAATCGATTATGCTTGTTTAGCCTCTTTGCATAAAATCACAATCTTCAGTCCTTATACCAAGTGATCACCTTCAGAAAGCTATTATTGTTTTGCAATTTGAATGTGCCTGTTGCCCAAAGACTATCCTGTCTGTACTCTTCATATGCAACAGTGGAGTCTGAGTCCCATATCTGATTTTATTTTTCATGAGAATGTTTGATTACCAGTAACCTTAGCCCGATTACTTTGAAAGTATGTTTTGAAGATGATTAACTTTTTTTTTTTTCTCAGTCTCTTTTTTTCCCCTTCTAGGTAGAGGCAGTGAATTTCTTGAGGGATAGAGAGCTGTGTAAAAGGTTACCTGCCTACAGTATATTCATTTCTATAATGCAGAATCTTTAAGCATAATTCTCACAAAAGTATTTTCTAGCAATCCTTTTTTTTTTTTAAAGACTTTATTTTTTTGCTTTCTCTCCCCAAAGCCCCCCAGTACATAGTTGTGTATTCTTAGTTGTGGGTCCTTCCAGTTGTAGCATATGGGACACCACCTCAGCCTGGCCTGATGAGTGGTGCCATGTCCGCACCCAGGATTCGGACCAACAAAACCCTGGGCCGCCTCAGTGGAGTGCACGAACTTAACCCCTCGGCCACAGGGCTGGCCCCATCTAGCAATCTTAAAAAGACTTCTCATAAAAGAATTCTATTTCTCCATGATCTTGTAATATAAGGAAATTGTATTCTCAGAGAGAAAAAAATAGGTGATAGAGGTGAAAACTTTTGACACGAGAAGCCTTATTTTAATATCTAATACTTATCAGGCCAGGAAGGAAGGAAACCACAAATACTTGTCTCATAAGCCAGGTCCAGGACTTTAAGATGGGAAGATGAGGATAAAAAAGGGCTGGACTCAACAGTTGATCCAGAGACAAATGTGATCACAGCTAACCTTTGCCCTGTTGTGTGGGTAGAGCCACACTAAGAATGGCTCCACACTCCGGTAGCTCCTGCGCTTTCGTAGCCCAGATGGTACAAACCAATTTTTTAAAGAAGTCTAACATTTAATTCATAAACTTTTAGTTAGTTGTTATGTTGCAAGCATTCTGAGGGCAAACTAACACACATTCGCACTTCCAGAACCATACCTCTAGAATAGTCTTTTCTCCCCACTTCATAGCACTGAATAGTCTATTTGGAAACTTTCAGAAATGTATCATCTTATAAATTGAGATCTTTCTATGATTTCAAGTTCCTGAACTGAATTTAAAAGTGATATTTATTAATTCAGATTATGGATTATGGGTTGTCCACCCAAAAATTACTTGATTCTTCTGCTCCCTAGCAGATTTAGTATTATTTCCCTCTGATCTTGATATAACTTTTGCTTTTAGATGTTCACCTGGTAGAGGTTATCGACTGCCGACAAGTGCCTTGGTGAACCTTTCTCATGGGAGTCGCTCTGAAAGTGGAAATCAGAAGTTGACGGCCGTTGTGAAACCACAACCAGCTGTGAATCAGTACAGCTCAGCTTCCTCAGTTTCCTCTGGGCATTTGGGAGGCCTGAACCATTCCCCTCAATCACTTTTTGTTCCTACTCAAGTAAGACTCTCAGTCTTTAATTTCTCTCCACCCCCATTACAAATCGCCGGCAGACTTTGTAAGCGACCTAATTCAAGTTAGCTTTTTAAAAAGTTTTGATTTGAGTCAGTTCCAGATTTGTTTTCAGCTAATAGGCTAGTATACTATTGATAGCATTTTACTTCTGTAATAAAATTGTAGTTATATTAAAGAAGAAATTCATTTATTTAAATAATGAGCTTGGGAATATCTGTTTAAAAAGGTTTTTAATTTTTTCTTATATAACCCAAATGTATCTGCTATGAAATGACAATTTTGAAAGATAAAAGGGAGAAGACTACATCATGTTAATCATAAGCAATTTTCAAGTTTCCACCATGCAGCTCCTGGGTTATTTCCTTTATTTCATCTTCCTGGGAAAAACTGAATTGCTTTGTGTGAGACACTTTATTTAATTCCATGGCGCCAAATCTTAACCACACTCTTTAATGCAATTAATACATGTTTATTGTAGACTAATTAGAAAACACAGATAAGTAGATAATAACAAAGGAAAGAGAAGCAGAAATCCTCTCAAATCTCATAGGTAACCGTGTTAAATTTTGGTGCATATTTTTCCACAGTTTTAATCTGGATGAAATCAGTTCTCCGTAAGTAATAGCTGATTTTTTAATCTATTAGATTAGTTTTGTGTAAGGTGAAGATTTTAAAAATAAAATCGTCAAACGTTAGTTTGAATGAGATAATATGTCAGTGCTTTGGAAGACAAAAGAAATCTGTTAGTAGCAATATTGATTCCGTGTAATCTTTTGAAGCGTTTGTTATGCTTTAAATACTTTTCAAGAAAACTTCAAAAAATTACATATGAAGAAGACCATTTTCACTCCAATAAAATACTTTTATTATTATTATGCTGAGCTCTAGAAAAAAAGAACTGGAATTTCAGATAATGAAAGTTAAGTATCCTACCACTACATAACTTTAATGAATAAATTATTTGATTTTTTTAAGGAATCTTTATTTTTTCACGTTTCAGTTCCTTAAGAATTTTTTTGTGTTTTGCCAGGTACCTACTAAAGATGATGATGAGTTTTGCAGCATTTGGCAGTCCTTACAGGGATCCGGAAAGGTTCAGCACTTTCAGCCAAGTCTACAAGAGAAGGTTAGTATACCTTGTTTGATGGACATTTAATGTTAAAAAATATACTTTTTATATTTCTCTTTCAGGTATGCAATGATTAATCTTCTCCTGAAATCTCATAGAATAGAAATAACAGTTTTGATCATGAATTTTCATAATTCTCTTCAGCCATATATAAAAGTTTTTGGACCAGTCAGTGAGAATATACATAATTTTCTTTTTAAATCAATTTTGGACTTTTTTTTAGTTGTTTACAAAATCATAGTAACGATACAGTCAGCCATCGCTTAACGACAGGAATACGTTCTGAGGAATATGTCATTAGGCATTTTTGTCGTGCAAACGTCATAATGTACTTACGCAAACGTAGATGGTACACCCTACTACACCCCTAGGCTCTATGGTACTAATCTTGTGGGACCACTGTTGTATATGCAGTCCATCATTGGCCAAAATATCGTTATGCAGCACATGTGACTGTATTTTAAATTCAACAAAGGCCTTAAGGGCACTCATTAACTTATTCATTTCCACTTGAATGTGTAGCTTTATGCTGGCAGTTGGTTGTCTTAAATATGAATGAGCAAATACACATTCTTGCTAGAGATTAAGAAGAGGAAAGAAATTCTGCTAAAAGGATAGACTCAAATTAAAAAAAGGAAGAATTAAAGGAATGAATTCCTACTACATGTTTTGCTAGTTACTGACCAATCTTCTCAGCTTAGTTCGAGAAGGAATGTTCTCTCAGGTTTATAAACCAATAGCCTATACTATGTGAACCTCATTTATTCTAATGGCCTCTAGTGATAATAGTGTTATCAGAGCTAGAGGGGGGAAAATAGCAAAGGGAATGATGGTAAAATAAACATAAAAAATGAGAGTGACAAAATACACAGGTCTCCTATGCCAATAAGCTATTATAAATTTTCCTTACATCATCTATAATTCTTTCTACCTAAGTGTAATCCATATCCAGATTTTCAAACCCTCTTTTCCTCTCTCTGTTACTGCTAACCACTCATTCTTCAGGAGTGCTTTGTTATTATTCATTCATTCAACACGTATCTATGGAGTACCTCCCATATGCCAGGCGTTGTTCTATGCAGTGAGAATATAGCTGTAAACAAAACAAAAATCCTGGCCCTCAAACAATTAGTATTCCAAGGAGGAGAGGACAGTAAATAAGTAAATTGCATGATATATTAGATGATAATATATAAGTTTGAGAAAAATTACAAGAAAGAGGATAGGGAATTTCAGGGGAAGGGGAGGGGAGGTTTTGCAGTTTCAAATGGAATGATCAGATAACCTTTGAGCAAATATTTGAATGAAATGAGGGGTAGGGGACATAGATATCTGAGGGAAGAGTATTCCAGACAAATTCAAAGGCCCTCTTGATGGGAACCATCCCTAGCATACTGAAGGAAGAGAAAAGAGGACCATTATGATTGAATCAGTAGGGTGAATTGTGGGAAATGTAGTTAGGTGACACAATACCATGCAGGACCTTCTGGGCAATTTAAGGACATTGGCTTTTACTCAACAAGATGGGAAATCAGTGGAGCGTTTTGAGCTGCAGAGTGACATGATCTGACTTACCTTTTAATAGTATCACTCTATCTTGATACTATCAAGCCTGCTATGTTGAGAATAGAATGCAGAGGAGCCAGGATGGAAATAGAAATTAATTAGGAGACTACTGAAATCAAGTTAGAGTTGATCTTGACTTGGACCAGGGTAGTAGGAGCCTGTGAGAAGTGGTCAAATTCTAGACATATTTGAAAGGGATTGCCAGCTGATGATGAACTGGATATGGGAGTTAAAGAGAGAATGGATTAAAGGATGTCACTTTTAAGATCTGAGTAACTGAAAGGATAGAATGGCTGTTAACTGAGTTGTGGAATATTGCGGGTCAAGTAGCTTTGTAGAAGAAGATTAGGAGTTCAGTTTTGGACATGGTTAAGTTTGAGATGTATATTAAATATTTAAGTGGAAATAGAGAGTTGGACAGTTGAGTATTTGAATGGAGATGTAGAGTTAGACATTGAGTCTGAAGTTATGGAGGATGCCCAAGCTGGAGAGAGAATATGGGAGTCATCATATTTATATGTGTGTGTGTGTGTGTGTATCTGTATATCTAAAGAGGTGAATGTAGATTGAGAAGAAGTCGAATCACTTAGCCATAGAGAATTCCATCCTTAAAGAGTCAGAGAGATTAGGTGAAACTGATGAAGAAGACTGAGAAGGAACAGCCAATGAGACAGGAAGAACACCAGGAAAGGGCGGTGTCTAGATGCCAAGTGAAGAATGAATGTCAAGACCAGAGTTTTCAACTTGGTCAAATGCTGCTGATGGATCAATTAACATGAAAACAGAGAATTGACCATAGAGTTTAGCACATAAAGGTCACTAGGAACCATTACAAGAGCAGTTTCAGTAGAGTGATAGGAATGAAATACTGATTAGAGTACGTTTAAGAGAGAAGGGGAGGAGAGAGATTAGAGGCAGCAAATATAGGCAGTTCTTTCAAGGAGTTTTGCTATAAAAGAGAACATTAGGGGCTGGCCCCGTGGCCGAGTGGTTAAGTTCGCGCCCTCTGCTGCAGGCAGCCCAGTGTTTCGTTGGTTCGAATCCTGAGCGCGGACATGGCACTGCTCATCAAGCCACGCTGAGGCAGCGTCCCACAAGCCACAACTAGAAGGACCCACAACGAAGAATATAGAACTATATCTCAGGGGGCTTTGGGGAGAAAAAGGAAAAGAATAAAATCTTAAAAGAAAAAGTTTGTTAAAAAAAAGGGGAACATTACCCTGAGTCCCCTCTTGTTTTTCCCTATTTGTTCAACTTATTTATTTTTTTTATTTTTTTTAAGATTGGTACCTGAGCTAGACAACTGTTGCCAATCTTTTTTTTTTTTCTTCTTTTTATTCCCAAAGCCCCCAGTACGTACTTGTATGTTCTAGCTGTAGGTCATCTGGTTGTACCGCCTCAGCATGGCCTAATGAATGGTGCCATGTCCTTGCCCAGGATCCGTCCGAACTGGCAAAACCCTAGGCCACCAAAGCGGAGCACACGAACTCAACCACCCCGGGACTGGCCCCCTCAACTTCTTTATTAACCTCTACTCTTCCAGCCTTTCAGTGGGGACTCAACTCCCAAAACTCAACGATAGTTTTCTTTTCCTTTTTACCTTATTGCTTGACTGGTGACTTTGGCTCTTACCTCTCTGCTGATTACCACTCAATCTATGTCTCTGATTCCAACCTCTCAAACAAGATCTAACCTGATGTCTCTGACTTTCTAGAAGACAGGTATAGATGGATACCCCACTGTCACCTCAACCATAAGATGTCTCAGAATTGACTTTGCCTATGGCCTCTTCTATCTTTTTTTCTAATACTGCCATCTCTCCAAGCACATAATCTGAAAAGCATGGAGTCAAAAATGTTTGCTCATTCTCTCTAATATTTTTTTGCAATGAGACCTCACATCTGTTTACTTCTTCTCAATTCCCACAGATGGACCTTAGGTTGTCATCCTAGGCCTAGACTACCCTCCTTTCTGTGCTTCCTGTTTCTTATCTCTTTCTTTTCTAGTTCTTCTTACATAGTAGTGCCTGATTAATCTTTCCTAAAGATCCATTCACCTGTGGCATATTAGGGCAAAGTAATTAGGCAGAGCTCCTGGGTTTGAACTCAGTTTATGCCCTAAGGCAGTGTGGTGTGACAAATCTGGCATTGGACTCAGAATCGGGAAATCAGATCTTGTGACTCAAATTAAGCAAATCTAATTTCCCTGGGCCTCAGTGGCCTCATGTACAAAATTAAGACATTCGACTTAGGTGACCTCGGAGATCTTTTCCAGCCCTAAAATAGTGTTATTCAAATTTCTGCTATGTATAAGGGTCCCTGTTTAGTACCACTGGAATTCAACTACAACTTAAACTAATATTTAAGCCTTTCGTAATCTAACTCCACCTAATTCTCGTATAGAGTATGTCCAACTATTGTGTAAAATGGTCTATTCCAGTCAAATCGGTCTCTTTATTTTCTCTTTCCCACAAACAGATAATTCCTATATTAGATTATGTGTTCTTATCGTTCCTTCTACTTAGGATGCCCTTTCCTCTCTCACTGCCAAAATTCCCCTAGGTCTCAGTCAAGGGCTACTAGTTATGTTACCACTTGTCTCCTTGAGATGGAACTCAACAGTTGATAGTATATTTCCTCAGAATCTTCTACATGCATCTCCTGTTACTGGATGCTGTTTCATTATTTATATTTCCTGAAAACTCTCATGTTTTATCTCCTGTATGTTCCAAGAATTATGAGCCACCATGTATAACACTTATATCCACGAAACATTAATAAGCAGTCTGGTATTCATCTGATGAGCAGATTCTAGAGAACTCAACATAATAAAAAAAAAGTATTCAAGCTTGTGGAAAAGGTAAAACTATAGGGACAGTAAGAAGATCAGTGGTTGCCAGGAGTTAGGGGGAAAGGGAGGGATGAATAGGCAGAGCACAGAAGATTTTTAGGGCACTGAAAATACTCTGTATGATACTGTAATGGTAGATACATGTCATTATACATTTGTCCAAAGCCATAGAATGTACAACACCAAGAGTGAACCCACTGTAAACTATAGACTTGGAGTGATAATGATGTGTCAATGTGAGTTCATCAACTGTAACAAATATACCGCTCTACTGGGGGATGTTGATAATGGGGAAAGCTATGCATGTGTGGGAGCATGGGGTATGTGGGAAATCTCTGTACCTTCCTCTCAGTTTTGTTGTGAACCTAAAACTGCTCTTTAAAAAAAGTCTTTAAAGAAAAATTCAAGTGTTGGGGCCAGCCCCATGGCCGAGTGTTTGGGTTCATGTGCTCCGATTCGGGAGCCCAGGAGTTCACCAGTTTGAATCCTGGGCATGGATGTGGCACCGCTTGTCAAGCCATGCTGGGGCAGCGTCCCACATGCCACAACTGGAAGGACCCCCAATTAAAAATATGCAACTATGTACTGGGGGACTTTGGGGAGAAAAAAGAAAAATAAAATCTTGAAAAAAAAAATTCAAGCGTTTATTGGCAAAATATGATAATGTGACTAACACAAATAGCTTTAAGTATCAAATAGAACAACAAAAAAACTATACTCAAAACTAGAGTATTTTCTAATTAAATTTATGGCACACTTTTTCTCTGAAATGGTACTGTGAACATGAGTTTTAGAACTCCAATGTCAGCTCTCCTATTATTTAGTTCTATAACCAAATTAATTTATCACTTTGATCCTCAGTTTACTCAACTATAAAATGGAATCAAAATACCCCATAGCATTTTTATGATTGTAGCATTTTTATAATGATATTAAGATAATCGATGCAAAGTACATCTTACCATGCCTGTCACATACTAGATACACAATATTCGTTCTTACCTATCTATTGATCCGATATTCTAATTCCCTACCTTAGAGTCACATTCCCCTATAATGTACCGCTGTAGCCCAAAATCCCACCAGCCACTGTGCCATGCAGATAGAAATCTCTTGGCCCTTTTGACTCTCCAAGACTAAAGAGCCCTGGGTGTTCCTGTGCATATGAGTTCGTTGGACCTGCCTTCACACTCTGGTGCATATCACAGCTATTTGGGAACATGCCCACTGCCAAATAGAACATGATGTGTCTTTGCACCTGGTGTTTATTTGTCTGTGCTCAGAAGAAAATAAATAGGGCTCACCAAAAGCAAAATTGTGAAACGATTAATTTGTGTTGACCATCTCCAGCCTCTGCTTTTGTTTCCTCTTCCCACTATCTGTGGCAAATTTTGTCTCTTTTTGCTTTCAGGCCTCCTTTCCCTATCAGAAAACAAAAGGATCTGATGTGATCTTTATATGAAACTTACTCATGCCATTTTCTAATTCTTTCTGTTCATGCACTGTCTCAATTACTGTAGCTTTATAGTCAGTCTTGCCATCTGGTAGTAGTCTTCCATCATTTGAAAACCTTGACAATATAAACATTAATTGATGAAATCAGGTATTGGGGGAAGGGATGTGGAAGGGCTAATATCCTCAATTTTTATAACAGACAGAAATGATGAATTTTCAAAAACCTTTTAATGGAAATTTTTAAAATCATGAAGTGTTGGGCCAGTCCAGTGGCGCAGCGGTTAAGTTTGCACGTTCTGCTTCTCGGCGGCCCAGAGTTCACCAGTTGGGATCCCAGGTGCAGACATGGCACCGCTTGGCAAAAGCCATGCTGTGGTAGGCGTCCCACGTATAGAGTAGAGGAAGATGGGCATGTATGTTAGCTCACGGCCAGTCTTCCTCTGCAAAAAGAGGAGGATTGGCAGTAGTTAGCTCAGGGCTAATCTTCCTCAAAAAAAAAAAATCATGAAGCGAAGAGAATAGTATAATGAACCCACAAGTACCCATCCTTTGCCTTGCGCTCGTCCAACCCTATTTCTTCTATAACACCCACTCATTTCCCAACCTCCCCACCACAGAGATAGAATTATTTTGAAGCAAATCTAGAGGGATCTTTGGAGGCTGATATTTCTATTGTAAAGAAACGTTTACCTGAAGTTAAATCTTTTCTTTAGTTTCTGTATTAACTTAAAGCAAAGTTAGATTTAATTCTATTGAAAGTAGCATTTTTGTAAAATGATAGTTTTCTGTGTATCTTGCTATTTAAGTAATGCATAGAGAAACATCTGGAGTGATGATTATTATGTTAATAATGGTTGTTTCTGGGTGGTGGAATTTGGTTAAGTTCTCTATACTTTTCTCTGTTACTTAAATTTTTTTCTATTGAGCTATGTAACTTTTATAAAAATAATAAAGTATTTATTAAACATTGAGGAAAAGAAGTAGTTATAACATTAAGAGTTTATTTAAATCATTTATAAGAATTTTAACTTTCAGGGTGCAGTTCTACCTCAAGAAATCAGTCAAGTAACTCAGCATCATAAATCTGGCTTTAATGACAACAGTGTTAAATGTCAGCAAAGAAAACATGAGCCTCACAGAAAATGTAAGTTTTAAGTAGGAAAAGTATATTCTGGAAAAGTGCTAACTGCTTCCTTTTATTTTTATTAATTAATAGCTTTACTGAGTTATAATTCACATACCATAAAATTCATCATTTTAGAGTTTTTTGGTATTTTCATAAAGTAGTACAACCTATGCTACTATCTGAGTTTCGAAAATTTTCATCACCCCAAAAAGAAATACCATACCTATTAGCAATCATTCCTCCAGCCCCTGGCAACCACTGATTTACTTTCCACCTCCATGGATTGACCTATTCTGGACATTTCATATGAATAGAATCATAAAATATGTGGCCTTCTGTGACTGGCTTTCCTTCACTTGGCATAATGTTTTCAAGGTTCATCTATGTTGTAGCATGTATCAGTACTTCATTCCTTTTTTTGGCTGAATAATATTCCATTGCACATTTTCTTTGTTCATTCATTGATGGACATTTGTATTGTTTCCACTTTGGGGCTATCATGAATAATGCTGCTGTGAATATCCATGTACAGGATTCTGTGTGAACATATGTGAGCAATTCTCCTGAGTATATACAAAGGAGTGGAATTACTGAGTCATGTCTTGACTCTATGTCTAACTTTTTGTAGAACTACCAAACTGTTTTCCAAAATGACTGTACCATTTTAATTCCCAGCAGCAGTATATGAGGGCCAGTTTTTCCACATCCTCCATTACACTTGTTATTGTCCATCTTTTTTATTATAGCCATCCTAGTAGATGTAAAGTGGAGCCTCCTTGTGGTTTTCATTTGCAATTCATTAATGATTAACAACATTGAGCATCTTTTCATGTGCTTATTGGCTGTTTGTATATCTTCTTTGGAGAAATGTCTATTTGGATCCTTTGTTCATTTTTAAATTGGGTTATTTGTCTTTTTATTCTTGAATTACAATAGTTCTTTATGTATTCTTATACTAAATGCTTATTCAGTAGTTCATTTGCAAATATATGCTCTCATTCTGTGGATTGTCTTTTAACTTTCTTTATAGTGTTCTTGAAAAACAAGTTTTAAATTTTGATCAAGTTCAATTTACCTATTTTTTTCTACTTTTTCTTTGGTTGCTTTTGCTTTAGGTGTCATAAATAAGAATCCATTGCCTAATCCAAGGTTACAAAGATTTATACTTATGTTTTCTTCTAAGAGTTTTATTGTTTTGTTTTTTAAAGATTGGCACCTGAGCTAACATCTGTTGCCAATCTTCTTTTTTTTTTCCTTATTGTCCCCAAAGCCCCCCAGTACATAGTTGTATATTCTAGCTGGAGGTCTTTCTGGTTGTGCTACATGGGACACCGCCTCAGCATGGCTTGATGAGCGGTGCCATGTCTGTGCCCAGGATGTGAACTGGCAAAACCCTGGGCCACTGAAGCAGAGCACACGAACTTAACTACTTGGCCACAGGGCTGGCCCTAAGTTTTATAGTTTTAATTCTTTTTTTTTTCTTTTTTTTTTTTTCCTTTTTCTCCCCAAAGCCCCCCGGTACATAGTTGTATATTCTTAGTTGTGGGTCCTTCTAGTTGTGGCATGTGAGATGCTGCCTCAGCGTGGCTTGATGAGCGGTGCCATGTCCACGCTCAGGATTCGAACTGACAAAACACTGGGCTGCCTGCAGCAGAGCAACGCAAACTTAACCACTCGGCCACGGGGCCAGCCCCTATAGTTTTAATTCTTAAATTTAGGTCTTTTTTCCATTTTTGAGTGTTTGTATATGGTATGAGGTAGGGGTCCATATTCATTCTTTTGCATGTGAGTATCTAGTTGTCCCAGCACTGTTTGCTAAAACACTTTTATTTCCCCCATTGAATTCTCTTGGCACTCTTGTCAAAAAATAATTGACCATACATGTATGGGTTTATTTCTGGCATCTCAGTTCCATTCCACTGATCTGTATGCCATCTTTATGCAAACAACACACCATGTTAATTGCTATTGCTTTGTTATAAGTTTTGAAATTGGGAAGTTTTTGTTCCTCCAACTTTGATTTTCTTTTTCCAGATTGTTTTATCTGTTCTGGTCCCTTGCATTTCCATATGAATGTTCAGATCAGCTTGTCTCTTTCTGCAAAAATGGCAGCTGGAATTTTTATAGGGATTGCGTTGAATCTGTTGATCACTTTGGGTAGTATTGGCATCTTAGCAATATTGGCTTCCCATCCGTGAACACAAAATGTCTTTCCATTGTGTAAGTCTTCTATAATTTCTTTCAGTGATGTCTTGTAGTTTTCGGTATACAAGTCTTACACTTTTTTGGTTGAATTTATTCCTATGTATTTTATTCTTTTTAATGCTGTTGTCAGTGGTGCTGTTTTCAGTTGGAATGGAATGGAATTTCTTTTTTTTGGATTGTTCATTGCTAGTTATAGAAATAAAACTGACTATTGTATATTGATCTTGTATCCGACCGTCTTACTGAACTTGTTAATTAGCCCTAATTTTTTTGTGACTTCTGAAAATAGAGATAATCACATTTCTTCCTATATAATCTGGATGCCTTTTATTTCTTTTTCTTGCCTAATTTCTGTGGCTAGAACCACCAGTACAATATTGAATAGAAGTGGTAAGAGTGAACATCCTTATCTTGTCTTGATCTCAGGGAAAAGCTTTCTATCTTTCAGCATTAAGTGTAATGTTAGCTGTAGGGTTTCGGTAGATGCCATTCATTAAGATGAGGAAGTCCCCTTCTGTTCCTAGGTGGTGGTTGTTTTCTTGGAGGGATGTTAGATTTTGTCAAATCCTATTTCTGTGTCTATGGAGGTAACCATATGGATTCTGTCCTTTATTCAATTAATATGGTGTATTCCATTGTTTTTCATATGTTGAACCAACCTTGTATTTCTAGGATAAACCCCACTAGGCCATGGTATATAATCCTCTGTATGTGCTACAAGATTTGATTTGCTGGTATTTTGTTGAGGATTTTTGTATCTGTATTCATAAGGGATATTTTAAATTTTCCTTTCTTGTGTTCTCTTTGGTTTTGACATCATGGTAATACTGACCTCAGAGAATGTTGGGACTAACTTTGAAAGAGCTGTAGCCTCATTCTGATCTCTCTGGTGGCAGCCAGGCTATTAGTTTCCACCAAAAATACCGGCTGTTGTTTTTGAGGGCTACATGGAACTGGAGAGTGGGGAATGGGACTACGGCAAATTAGAATGCCACAAAGATCACTGTTCTAACCGAGATTCAGCCTTTTTCTGGAGTAAACACTCCCTGGATTGCTGCAAGCCTTTGATTAACTTTCATAGCTCTGAAAATTTGGATTCTGGTAATTTATGCCCATTTTCTCATTGCTTTTATGGAGGAGAGAATTTTCAGAGATTCTTACTGTGACATTTTTGCTGATGTCCCCTCACTAACTACTTTTTGAGATAAATTTTATTTAGAGTAATCCTACTTTTTTGTGTATAAACACTTGCCAATTAAATTAGTCCAAACTATATTACAGATTTTTGTTAAAAATATGTACAAATATTTTGTTGTTAATATTCCCTTACATAATTTATATAGTTTTACTCTTTTCATTGCTTTAGTAGGGTCTACTGTGTTCCAGGCACAGTAGGGAATGCAGATGCAGACATGAGAATCGTCATCTTGAAGTTACTTTTTCTCTTCTCTTGATCAAAGTATTCCCAAATTGCAGCCAATTGCTCATTAGGCTCAAAATATGATTCATTTGTTATTCATTCTTTTATTTATACAACTGCTACCTATTGAGCTATTATGTGCAAGGTACTGTTCTAGGTGCTAGGAATATATGAGCGAACAAGACAGACAAGATTTCTGGCCTAATGGACTTTATACTCTAAGGTGGAGACTGATAATAGGCAAACAAACAATAAATTCCATAATCTGTAGTAATGATAAGTGTTATGATGAAAAATAAAGCAGATTAAGAGGAAAGAGTGATAGGGTGCTATTTTAAATACGGCAGTCAAGGAATGCCTCTCTGAGGACTTAACGTTTGAGCAGAGGCCCAAATAAAAAGGGAGTGGAATGGGATAAGCTATGCAAAAAGCTTAGTGAAGAGCTTTCCAGCAGAGGAAGTGCACAATCCTGAGTCTGATTTATTATATTTAATATATGCATGGTATTTTTTGTATTTATATATTAATATAGTATATAGTATATAGTATGTGGTATAATGGGAGTAGTCTTTTAAAATATTTTTCTAGGGGCGGGTCCAGTGGCACAGCAGTTAAGTGCGCACGTTCCACTTCGGCGACCCAGGATTCAGATCCCGGGTGCAGACATGGCACCACTTGGCATGCCATGCAATGGTAGGCGTCCCACTTATAAAGTAGAGGAAGATGGGCATGGATGTTAGCTCAGGGCCAGCCTTCCTCAGCGAAAAGAGGAAGATTGGCAACAGTTAGCTCAGGGCTAATCTTCCTCAAAAATGAAAAAATAAAATATTTTTCCAAAAAGCTATTTTCAAAAAAAATTTTGTGGTTTTATAATTTTGGTTCAATTTGATAACTGTAGAGTATTTTTGCAACAACATCTATAAGTTATTTTTGGTTCTTCTATATTTTAAGTTAATTTGGATTAATGTTCCTATAAATCTATAAATATAGCTTAAAAATTATTTAATTGAAATGCATTGTGATTTTTCTTTAAATTATTATTTGCATAAATATGTGTAAACTATTTGCATTATCTGGGATTCCAGTTAGCTTTCTTGTCTGTATGTCTCAACAAAGGTTGAATGTCCATACATATCAAACTCACTTTTTCTTTTGCTGCTTTTTGCAAGATTACTTCCTCCCTTTCCTCTCTTCCTTGCCTCCATTACCTTCCTCCTCTCCCTTCCCCTTTCTTTTCCTCCCTCTCTGTTCCCTCTCTTCCCTTCTCTTTCCATCTTTCTCCCTTCCTTCCCTCCTCTCTCATCCCATCCTTTCCCTCCCCCCACCCTCTCCCCCTACTTCTTTCCTCACCCTTTCTTACCTCCCTCCCTTATTCCCTCCTTGCTTCCTTCCTACTTTCTTCCCTCCCTTTCTTCCTTCTTCTAATTCATCCTTTTCATTTCCCCTACCATTCCCCCAGTTTCCCCTTAACAGGAATACTAAAATAGCTTCCTAATTGGTGTCTCGCTTTCCTTCTGTCTATGCAATAAGCCACTGCTGTATTTTAATCTTCCTAAGGCACGATTCTGATCACATCACTACCTGCTCAAAACCTTTCTGTGATTGATTGTCCGTTGCCTACCAGTTTAATTCCCTGGTCTTCAAAACCTTGCAGATTATGGCTCCAACCTACTTCTCTAATTCAATTAAGCTCCACTATACTCCTTAACCTCCAGTGGATCTGGTCTATTTAGAGTTCCATAAACACATTACCTGCTGTCTGCTTCCGTGACTTTTCTCCTATTATTTCCTTTGCCTGTAATACTTAGCCTCCTATTCTGCCCTTTGGAAACCTACCAGCCTTCAAAGCTCAGTTAGAAGCCACTTTTCCTTTTCCCTTGTTGTTTTTATCTGTGAATATCTCTCCTACCCCTCATCTAGATTATAAGACTCCTCAAAATCGGGGCCTTTTTCTTCTTGGAGTTATGTGACTCTAACACAGTTCCTTGCTATAGTAAATATTTGGTGAATTTAATTGGTGTGCAGCAAGTTCTTTCACTTACCAAAATTTCTGTTTTTTTTGTTTCTAGTTAAAGAAGAGTGTAAAAGTCCTAAAACAGAGAGTCGGTCACAAAAAATGTCACATAAGCAGGTAAGCTTTCTTAAAAAACTTTTGATTGCATTTGGTGGCTCTGTGGCATCTGACTGAATTTTGCAGCCCTTTCAACCAAATCCATGAGGTGTGTTGCATGAGGGTTGCTAAAACCTGACAGTCACTTGGCTGGAAGGTTGCACAGGTAGAGTCTGGGATCTGGAACTTGAGATACTTGAAGTCCTTGTTCTGCTGTTTAATAGCTGGGTAGCTTTCGGCAATTCTCTACACCTCTCACAGCCTCAATTTCTTCATCTTTAAAGTGGAGATAGGGGCCGGCCCCGTGGCGCAGCAGTTAAGTACACACATTCCGCTTCAGCGGGCTGGGGTTCGCCAGTTTGGATCCCGGGTGCAGACATGGCACCGCTTGGCAAAACCCATGCTGTGGTAGGTGTCCCACGTATAAAGTAGAGGCAGATGGGCATAGATGTTAGCTCAGGGCCATTCTTCCTCAGCAAAAAGGGGAGGATTGGCAGCAAGTGTCAGCTCAGGGCTAATCTTCCTCAAAAAAAAATAAAAAATAAAATAAAATGAAGATAAAAATAGAGCATTTGGGGACCAGCCCAGTTGCACAGCGGTTAAGTTTGCACACTGCTTCAGCAGCCAGGGGTTTACCAGTTCGGATCCCAGGCACAGACCTACACACTGCTTATCAAGCCATGCTGTGACAGACGTCCCACATACAAAGTAGAGGAAGATAGGCACAGATGTTAGCTCAGGGTCAGTCTTCTTCAGCAAAAAGAGGAGGATTGGCAGCAGATGTTAGTTCAGGGCTAATCTTCCTAAAAAAAAATGATCATTTGTCTCTCTATATAATTGGTCCATACATACACACATACATAATAGAAACATACCTGCATACATAAATGTGTGTGTGAGTATATATCTATAAAATATGTGAAATTATGCTTATATACAATGAAAGTATATGGATCAACAAAGTTAACAGTTAATTCTGTGGAGTTAAGTTGATGGAGGAAGCTGAGATCATTTATGTTTTATTTTGTATAGTCTCTGCTGTTTGATAAGGAGTATGTATACATTTTATAATCAAAGAATAACAAATTTTTAATCTAAAAAAATCAACATGTACACTTATGTGCATTTTATGTGTGTGTATTATATTTTAATGCAGAGTTTGAAAAAATTAGATCTCTTATAATAAAACAAGTAATATATTAAATTTATAAAAGATGTCTTACCAGAATATTTGGCACATAATAGGTTCTCAGTAAGTGGAACCCATTAATATTTAGATATCAGTCAGTGGTCGAATTACATGACTGTTAAGGCCCTCTCCTTTTGAAACTCATATGCTATAATTTCCTTTCTTCTAGAAAAGGGATTCATAAACTTTGTGCCATGGACCTCTTTGGTAAAGACTGTGGACTCTTTCTCAGAAAGATGTTTTTAATGCTAAAATAAAACACATAAGATTTGAAAGGAAATCAGTTATATTGAAATAGAGTTAGAATGGTTTATTGCGTACATTCATAATTGAAGGAAAGGAAGATGAACATGTAATTGTTTTCCTCATCCAAGTTTAGGCCTTTTGTTCTTATGACACAAAAGGGAGAATAGCACATAAAAAAGTTGTAGCAGTTTATTTAGAACATTATTAAGTAGTAACTATAAATTTTATTTCCACAAGAAGCTCATTCTTACTCTTTTATAGACGTTTGGAGGGCCTACCAAATGTAATATTAAGCTATTGAAGAGAAATGAAAGTGCAGAAGTCTCAGAAAGCCAAAAGGTTGTGACTGGTTATACAAATGCTATTGATAAGGTAGAAGACCATTTATTCAATTTCTCTTCCCAAACTTTAACACCTGGGAAGATGATTGAGTGAAAATTAAGTATATTATTTTTGTATATAAAACTCCTAGCTTTTTCTGTGTCCTTGTACTTTTACCTTCATGCATAAAATGTTTATTCTTTTAGCCTACCCCTGGAATTGAGAAGTTTTTAGCATCTTTGAATATCTCCAAAGAAAGTGGAGTGCAGTCATCGCATTTTGAAGAGCCTCCGAGTGAAGAGCATTTGTCACCACAGTCATTTGCTATGGTTCGTAGTCTGTAGGAGCTTTTGTGCTATAGTAATTTCACTCTTGTTGGCTGTTCGTACATACCCTATACAACTGTTAAAACACTTTTCTCTCATGTAGACTAGTGTATTGCATCATTCTTGTCATCCTATGAGGAAAACCAGGTTGCCCTGGGCAGTTTAACCATCTTTTTCTTTTTTTCTCTTTAGACCATAGCTCCTGGCTTTTCAGACATTACTTCTAGGTGATTTGGTCAAAAGCTAAGCAGAGGGGCCTGCCCCATGGCCGAGTGGTTTAGTTCGCACGTTCTGCTTTGGCGGCCCGGGGTTTCACCAGTTCACATCCTGGGCGTGGACATGGCACTGCTCATCAGGCCACACTGAGGCGGCGTCCCACATGCCACAACTAGAAGGACCCACAACTAAAAATACACAACTATGTACCGGGGGGCTTTGGGGAGAAAAAGGAAAAATTTTTTTAATCTTTAAAAAAAAAAATTAAGTGGAAGGATAAGTATTATTTCTATGCCAGGATATGTGGGTAATTTTTTTTTTAACTCTAGGCTATTGATTTTCCATATTCTCTATCTGAATACAGTTATCATCTTAGTTTTTAACAACGGAACTTGTTAAAAGAAGAATTAGTAAGCTCTGTAACTCTGATGTTAACTTTTCTCCCCTTATCCCCACCATCTCCATACCAATCATTTTCAAAACAGAAGGGAACACGGATGCTTAAAGAAATTCTAAAAATTGATGGCTTTGACACTGTGGACCATAAGAACGAAATAAAACAGTTTGGTAATGAAATTTCCTCTAATAGAAGAGATGAATATGGATCTGCCTCACAGCCTAAACAAAATAAGAAATTAAGTAAGTAAGCTAAGTACTATTACTAATAACCAACATCATTTCAAAAATTCAGTTCATTTGGGTTTTTTTATCATGGGCTTTTTAAAGATAAAACTACTTTTATTTTTAAAAGAATATACTTAAGAATAATGAGTATAACTTTTATGCTTATGTCAATTATATATTAATATAACAATGTAACTAATAGATCAATAGTCCCTAAATGTCTTCTTGTGATTACTTAAATATCTGTTACAGATACTCATTGTGTAGATCCTTAGCCTGGAAAGATTTCCACATTCTAGTTTTTTTCCTCAGTAATTTAAAAATGATTATTGGGGCCGGCCCGGTGGCACAGTGGTTAAGTGCACACGTTCTGCTTTGGTGGCCCGGGGTTCGCTGGTTTGGATCCCGGGCACAGACATGGCACCACTTGTCAAGCCGTGCTGTGGCAGGCGTCCCACATAGAAAGGAGAGGAAAATGGGCACAGATGTTAGCTCAGGGCCAGTCTTCCTCAGCAAAAAGAGGAGGATTGGCAGCGGATGTTAGCTCAGGGCTAATCTCCCTCAAAATAAATAAATAAATAAAATAAAAATGATAATATAAAATAAATAATAAAATTTTTAAAAAGTAACTTTTGGGGCTGGCCCCGTGGCCGAGTGGTTAAGTTCGCGCGCTTCGCTGCAGGCGGTCCAGTGTTTCGTTGGTTCAAATCCTGGGCGCCGACATGGCACTGCTCATCAAACCACGCTGAGGCAGCATCCCACATCCCACAACTAGAAGGACCCACAACGAAGAATATACAACTATGTACCAGGGGGGAGCTTTGGGGAGAAAAAGGAAAAAATTAAAAATCCTAAAAAAAAAAAGTAACTTTTACTTTATTTCAATGTAATGAAAAAAATCATCCGGCTTAGAGTGAAGAGCTCAGAATTCAGCCCATGTTACAGAACTAACGAGCCCTTTGACTTTGGACAAGCCGCTTAGCTTTTTTCTCACTCTCTAATAGTGAGAGGTTCAGATCCTTTTGTCACTGGGGTATGTTCTTGTCCTCTTAGTGAGTTTGTTGATCATAAAGAATATGAACTTTCAGAAATTTTTAATCATCTTCTATATAAAAGTACTTAGACTTAATTTTAGAAAAACTTTTAAGAAGCATCATTTTGGAGCAACAAAAACATGCATCCATGAGTCTCAGAATGTACGATAAAATTTTGAATCCAAACCCTCCAAACTTAGGAGTTAATTGTAAACCAGCTCGAGAAAGCCTTTGCTTGTTCAAATTTTGCCTGTAACGTAACTATGTAGTCGTTAATCTCTCAAGATGTTAATTTTTGGCAGTCAGCTACTTATCATATTTTAAAGTCTTTATCATAATCATGTATCATTAATCAGTTATAGTCATCTAAAAAATCCTTATTGAATTCTTAGTAATTTTAGACAATACTAAATAGTTCTTGTGTTTACTTCCTGGGAGATTCCTCTTTTCACCTTTTAACAGTTTCCTGCTTGTATTCTCTAAAACCCTGTGATAATTGCATAGTTTGAGATACTTTTTAATATAGACGTGTGCTTTTCTCTTTTTTGGTAGCATCTTGTATGAACAAGGCTCACAGTGCTAGTGAGTACCATAGTGCTCAGTCTATGGACAATGTGTGTTGGCCTGTTCCCAGCCACATCCCTCCTGTGTCCACACCAGTAACTGAACTTTCTCGAATTTGTTCTCTTGTTGGAATGCCACAACCAGATTTCTCCTTTCTTAGAACACCACAGGTATAGTATACTAATTGTTCCATTTACATGAGTTCTTTAACACTGAGCCTAAATAAATTGACTGAAAGTCTTTGGCTAGAAATAATATAATGGGGCTGATTTTTTTTACTTTATGAACACCATAGATTTCTAATTCTCACTCTGGTTGTTCCATTTATGCGTTACCAGAGCCATTTCAAACTTTTCGGTCTCAGAAACTCCACACTTTTTGTTTCTTGAGGAAGATTAGCCCTGAGCTAACATCTGCCACCAAGCCTCCTCTTTTTGCTGAGGAAGACTGGCCCTGAGCTAACATCTGTGCCCATCTTCCTCTACTTTTTTTTATATGTGGGACGCCTGCCACAGCATGGCTTGATGAGCGGTGCCATCTCTGCACCCGGGGTCCAAACCAGTGAACCCAGGCTGCCGAAGTGGAACTTGTGAACTTAACTGCTGTACCACCAGGCCAGCCCCAGCCCCACATTTTTTTGAGGACCCCCAAAGAACTTTTCTTTACTGTGTTATATCCATATTTACTGTATTAAAAATTAAAACTGAAAAATTTGAAGTATTGTTTATTAAAAATAACTTCAAAAAAATTTAATGAGAAGAGTGGTATTGCTCTACATTTTTGCAAATCTTTCCCGTCTCCAGCTTAAAAGAAGAAGCGAGATTCTCATATCTGCTTCTTACCATCAATCTCTTATGATATGTTGTTTTGGTTGAAATATATGAAAAAAATCTGGCCTCACACAGATAGATAGTTAGAAAAGGGGAGAGATTTTAATAGGCTTTTCATAAAATTGTGGATGTTCTTTGATACTATATAAGTAGCAGTATTTTCTTAAAAGTTATTTGCAACGTAGAATCTGAAACTATATGAATAAACTTTTTGTCCTCTATATACTTGTGAGAGAATGAGAGTGAAAAGGGTAAATAGCATCATTATATTATTATGAAGATAGTTCTGACCTCAAGGACCCCAGAAAGAGTGTCAGGGACCCCTTTGGGTGCCCAGACAGTGCCTTGACAACCACTGGCTACGAGAAAGACAGTTTTATCCTTTTCACTTCTAAGTTCTTGATACATTCTCACCTAAACAGAAAGTAGGATTAAACTAATAATATATAAAAATGGCTACCTTTTGAAAAGTAGAATTTTTTTTAATCTTTTATGTAAAGAAAAAAAATATAGAATATAAAGAGTTATAATTTAAATGTGAATATGTCAGAACCTCTGAGTGTTTTAGATTTTGGCCATTAATTCATATTAGCAAAGTATTGCTATTTAGAGGATGGTATAAAGGAGAGGTCAGCAAACTTTTTCTGTGAAAGGCCGGATAGAAATATTTTAGGCTTTTTGGGCCATATAGTGTCTGTCACAACTAGTCAACTCTGCAGTTATAGTGTGAAAACAGCCATAGGCAATACAGAAAAGAATGGACTTGGCTGTGTTCCAGTAAAACCTTATTTACAAAAATAAGTGGAAGGCCTAGTTCCCAACCCTTGCTAAAGAAAAAAGTTTTGCTGGCTTTCCTTTGCCTTAGGATGCTTGACCCTTCAGCTAGCTTAGAGAGCATTTTATTTTGTAAACATTAAAAGATAAAGCAACAATTCTCAAGTTTTTGCATGGCAACCCAAAACTTAAACTGATAGCCCTTTTTTGAATTCTTTTTTACAGAATGTCGGGTGAAATCATTCTACTTGTTGAGACTAAGCTTTGGGGGAGGAGGCCGACTTCCTAGATAGATAACTTCATAGACATTCATATTCTCTTTTTTAGACGATGACAGTTTGCCAGGTAAAACTATCCAATGGCTTATTGGTACATGGGCCACAGTGCCATTCTGAAAATGAGGCCAAGGAAAAAGCTGCACTTTTTGCTTTACAACAATTGGTGAGAACTGTCCATTACCTCTCTACTAAATTTGTAATTAATCTTTATGGATGTTTTTTGTTGCATTGTCTTATAACTTTTAAATACTTCCATAGGGTTCCTTAGGAGTTAATTTCCCTTTGCCTCCACCACTAATTCCAAATTATCCTCCTGCCGTACCACCTGGGACCATTCCTCCAGTTTTTCCCCAACCAACTGGTAAGATATTTTGCTCTTCTAAATATTTGTTATTGAGTTATTATTTTTAGAAAGTTCTTTTAAGAAGCATCATTTTGAGGAAACCAAAAAATTTAAGTGTCTAGGGAATGTAAGAAGGAATTGTTAGAAGTTAAGCCTGAAACCAGAGCCTACAGATTCATTTAGAAATACCATTCCTGGGGCTGGCCTGGTGGCGTAGTGGTCAAGTTCACACACTCTGCTTTGGCAGCCCAGTGTTCACAGGTTCGGATACCGTGTGCGGACCTACACACCACTCATCAAGCCATGCTGTGGCAACATCCCACATACAAAATAGAGAAAGATTGGCACAGATATTAGCTCAGCAACAATCTTCCTCAAGCAAAAGAGGAAGATTAACAACGGATGTTAGCTCAGGGCCAATCTTCCTCACCAAAAAAAAGAAAGAAACACCTTAATACCATTCCCCTCCTACAGCCTCTGGTGTGGCTGAAGTAGGACAGTTCTTTGTTCTGGACAGCCCCTTTTTCCCTAGTAGGCACAAACAGATGAATTTGGGTTTAAGTTAGATATCAAAAACACAGATGGGGGAAAAAAGACAGAGGTGAAGGGAATAAAAAGCAAGTAAGGGGCTGGCCCCGTGGCCAAGTGGTTAAGTTCGCACGCTCTGCTGCAGGCGGCCCACTGTTTCGTTGGTTTGAATCCTGGGCGCGGACATGGCACTGCTCATCAAACCACGCTGAGGCAGCGTCCCACATGCACAACTAGAAGGACCCACAATGAAGAATATACAACTATGTACCAGGGGGCTTTGGGGAGAAAAAGGAAAAAAAAAAAATCTTTAAAAAAAAAAAGAAAGCAAGTAAGGCTTTGAAGCTGTAGATGTGAAAGAAATTGCCCTTGATGAGACAGATCAAGAGTGGGGGGGTTTAAGCTTACTGTATGTTTCTTAATATTCTCTCATTGTTTTCCTCCTTCAAATGTAGTACCTGCGTTATCAAGCATGTAGTTCCTTGCTTCCTTTAGCCGGTTGGTGATTTCCTAACGTGCTGGGGGAATGGAAAGGGCACTGTGGAATCAGGACTCTCTTTTTGTCCAGGCTCTTTTATTGGCTGACTTTGAGAAAATCACATAACTTTTGGGGACTCCATTTTCTTATTTATGCTAGACTGTGTCCAGGATCTCTTTGAGACTAACGTTTTATAATTTTATCATTCTAAATCTTTCTAAATAATTCTTTTATCACTCCTTTTTCCTAATAGCAGTTGGCTTCTTCATATCCTAATCATTATAATTTTAAAATCAATAATTTATTTCAAGTTTAGAAAATTACTTTTCTGAGTCTGCTATATACCAGGTATTCTTCCAGGAGCTCTACATATCTAATCCTCACTATAAACATTAGAAAGGTTAGCAATTCTGATTAAACAAGCTGTCTCTTCAGTTTGCCTAAACTCCCTTAAACTGAATTAATAAATGATTTTAAAAGTGTAGGCCTACAGGCACAAAGAGACGAGAGAAGAAATATCAGCATATTAGAGATTTGAAAAGAGTTTCTGATGAGAAAAGCAATTGGAGAAGTCATGACTGATTTACAGAGCAGAGTTGAGCTACAGAGCAAAGTGTAGAAGAGGATACAGATGAGCTGATGAGTAGATTGTCCCTCACAATTCCCAGGAGATTCCGAACTTGGACGTCTCAGAAGCTGTCAAAGCTTCAGAGGAGGCATGGGCTGAAGAGAGGGGCACTGGTTCAAAGTCTAAATGTGGGGTGACGGAGGCCGTCTCCAAGACCTCTCTGCCCAGCTGAGCAGTTGCCTATCCAGGCCAAGACCGGAGGTTTGTTCTCCAGAGGGCTCCCTAGATATGGGGACACCAGGCACAGAAGAGAGAATGAGATACTAGGCTCAAAACGGAAATGAAGGTAAAGTTCCTTTTCCCCAGCGTGTTCCTAGATTGTAGCCAGCCATGGCCCACGTAGGAAGTTGGAGGAGGGTTCTTTTGAGAAATTCACTGAATTTCAAAAGACTGGCTCACTACCCAGTCATCCTAGAGAGAAGCCCTCAAGTCATCTGACCTGCTCCCTCCCCACACAGACACTGCTTCAAATCACAGTGTTACTGTCTTGTTCTTTAATGTGAGTAGATACTAGACTGTGAGGGATCACTGGGCATTTTAGGAAAATCGCTAAAATTAAAAGAGCCCAAAACAAAGAGAAATGAAAGTAACCTGGAAATAGAGATAATATAGGAAGTATGGAATTGAAAGACAGCTATAGTTAATATTCTTAGTGAGATAAAACAGTATTGCAGCCAAAAAATAAGAACAAGAATGTATGAAAAAAAGGATAATTGGAGAACAAGAATTAAATTGTTGAGTCTAAATTTTAAAATTCAGAAGATAAAACCCTAGCAAAGCCAAGGAAATCTCAGGAAGAAGAACAGGATAAAAGGTGGAAAATAAGAAAGAAGGGAGGCTTAGAGGAACAGTGCACAGATCAACACTTATCTAATTGGAGTGCCAGAAATAGAGACCAGAGATAATGGAAAGGACGAAAGTATCAAGGAAATAAGTAAAGTTTCTTCAGACTGAAGGACATACATCTCTAAACTGAAAGGGCCAGCAAGTGCTTAGTACAGTGAATGAAGAGAGACACAGATTGCCTTGAAATTCAGGATCCCAGTGATAAAGAGATGGTCCTAAGAGGTCAGAGAGATGGGGAAATACATGTAAAAGATCAAGAATCAGAATGATATTGCACTATTTAACAGAGGCTAGAAGCTAGAAAGCAGTTGAGCATTAAACACCTCAAAATCCTGAGACAGAATTCATTTCATCTTAGATTTCTCTGTAAAGCCAAACTATGAATCTAGCATAAGAGTAAAATAAAGACTTTTTCAGACATGCAAACTTACTTCTTATGCACCCTTTCTTAAAAAGCTATTGGATTATATGCTCCAGCAAAACAAAACAGTAGTTAAGAAAGAAAGAAAATCATGAGATTAAATCTCAAGACATCTAGTGATGAATGGAACTCCCAGAATGCCAGCTGCTCATAGGTCTAGAAAGTAACTAGTCCCAATTGGAAGAGCAGAGAGAAGTCTTGGCAGGTATGATAGTTATCTGATAGATGGGCAACATTCGGAAAAACATAAAGGATAGGTACTTAGAAGACTGGAGAGCTTTTAAAAGGTAATTGCTGGGGCCGGCCTGGTGGCGCAGCGGTTAAGTGCGCATGTTCTGCTTCTCGGCGGCCCGGCGCTCATTCACTGGTTCGGATCCCAGGTGTGGACATGGCACCACTTGGCAAGCCGTGCTGTGGTAGGCGTCCCACGTATAAAGTAGAGGAAGATGGGCATGGATGTTATCTCAGGGCCAGTCTTCCTCAGGAAAAAGAGGAGGATTGGCAGCGGATGTTAGCTCAGGGCTAATCTTCCTCAAATAAATAAATAAATAAATAAAAATAAAAGATAATTACTTTTAAAGGATAATTATTTTTAACAGAGTAAAAAAAAAAGTGTTACAAGAAAAAAACAGAGTACCCTACTTGGCTCTGCAGTGACTGTATTTACACAGTCACGTACCATAAACACTGCTTCTATATTTAAACAGATGTTGTGATATACTTAACATGAGGAGGACAGGGCAAGTAGTGAGAGGTAGTATGAAAACTGAATTTTGATGTGTCTTAATAGGAAGTCAGTAGATCTAAAAATACCAAAAGTTGAAAAATCACTAACCAGTAGTATAAGCAAATTGTTGAACAGTGTGGAAATAAACAGCTAAAACAGATAAACCTGGGTTGGAACAGGTGACTGCTATATTATGTTGAAAACCTTTTTTATTACAGTGTGTATGTAGTACTTTGATTTTTTTAAAAAACTGTAATTTGTCTAAGGTCGTAACTTACTAAGTTGCAGAACTGGCATTCAAACCCAAATCTATCTAATTCCAAAGCGCATGCTTTTGCTACTGTGCTGCTATACATTCCTTTCCCTGTATAAACAATGTTTTAGTCATAAAATTTTTATGACATAATGGATCTGATGTTTTCATATAGCTTAAGGTAGTAAGTTCACTGTAAATGGCAAAATGTAATTTGACCCATTCTTCACTTTCAAAAATGAATCTAGTAACTATATAAAAAATAATTTTAAGTAATTAGTATGTAGTTACCTAAAGGTGTACCCACAAGCTTCTCTAAAAAAGAATCTGTCAAAAATAAATAAATACATCTGTCTTATAAGAATGTATTATATATGAAAGGAATGATTGTTTTCCCCATTTATTATCGATATTTTATAGCTTGACATTTTTACCTTTTTCATGTTGATTATTGTATTTCTCTTTGTTATTGTATCGTGTTTATTAGTGTATTCAGACTTACCAAGAATCTTAAGGTTCTAACTGGAATTCTTTTGGTCTCATAGTAGGTGCTCTCCAATGTTCTAATTAAAATGTATGATATAAGTAAAAGCCAAGAGATTGGAATGCTAATCAGGAAAAAAAATTTGAGCATCAGATTGACATTTTTAAAGTTATTTTGTAGGTTTCTATTTTATGGTATGAAATAGTCCCAATGGAGGAAAACGTATTTTGTATTCAGAACAGTGATTTATTGGGGGAATTGTGAAGTTGACCTATGCATAAGATTAGCATAGCATCTTTTAAATAGATGTTAACATTATGACTGCCACCAAAGTTACTTATAGGTAGTATCAAGACCTAATTTTCTAAATCTTATTAGTGTTTTTCATATTAAAAGTTTTCTTTATCCTGGGATGTACATCTGTCATTCGTAACACAAAAATATATTATGATTCTTCTTTCTTGATTCCAAAATTTCTTAAGTGGCTTAATTTCATTTAAGCTATATCATCTTACAGGTCTGGCTGCCTTTTTATCTCTCTTAAAAGAAAGTTTGAACACAGTACGTGTCTTCTTCAGTGGCAATGTACTGGTGTCTCGATTGTCACTGTTTATTGCAGAGTTCCAAGTGGTGCTCTGGTACTGACTGCAAAAGAACCACCGGAGAGCTTGTTGACACTGCAGATTCCTGGGCGTCTCTGAGTCTGGTCTACTAGGTATGGCCCTGCCCAGGCCCTGTATTTCACAAGCTCCCCAGGTGATTCAGACACACAAATCAGGTTTGAGAACCACTAGTTCAACAAGCTTTTAAGAAGAAACAAAATTTAAATTTTAAAAAAATCCTTGAATTACAAATATTAGAATAGGGCAAAGAAAGATTCCACATGTCGTATGAAAATGATGAGGTTTCAATATTTGAACTTTTTTGTAGGCTGGGATCACTACGGAAGCAACTTAGCACTGGGGGCAGGTGAGTGAGATCCTTAAGATTTCTCTCTTTGTGCCCTGGCTTTTCTCCCTCAAGGGACAGTTTCATGACTTTTTATTATTTTTTTAAACAGTATTAAAAATTCCTAAAGCTCATATCAGCATAAGGAACTAGTGGCCTTTGTAGGCCAGACAGCATAACGATAAGCTGGCTTCTGTGGCTAGTTCACAGTCCTAAGGGGGGCTCCTGAGGTTGAATGCTGTAAGCAAGATTAATTGTAAGTTAAGCGTTTGCCCTTTGCCAAAGCGAACAAAGGGTAACAGAAGGTCGTCTTCAATTTCAGGGCTTTGATGACACCATTTTACTAAAAGAGGAATTTTCCATGATTTTTAACAGCTAATATAATGCCTCCGTCGTCTCATCTCTTTGGCTCGATGCCGTGGGGACCGCCAGTGCCAGCGCCTGGAAAGCCTTTCCAGCACACTTCGTACCCCGGGGCCGTGCCCATGGCTGGGGGAATGCGAGGTGGTGCGCATAATCAGTTCATCCCTCTACAGGTGAGACGTGGAAAGAGAATTATTTTAAGAGAATTGATTTTTTTAATGCTCAAAGACTATTGATAAAAATTTGTTTATTCAATAATTACTTATTCAGTGCCAGCTAGAAGCCTGAGACTGGGTCTGAGTGCTGAGCATAGGTTATAACCAGTAGTGACCAGTCTGACCTCATCCCTGCTGTCTGAGTTTGTGTTCTAATGAATAATAATTATCACAGCGAGTAATAATATCCTTTTCTAACGCAAAGTGATTTAAAATCAGGAATATAAACTTTCTTTATATTTAAGTTGTGGAGAATTTTTAAATATTTTATTCATAACTAAATTCCTTGAATTTCTGAAGTCCATTTTGGAAATTATAAGTGGAAGTCACAAGTGACCAGTGGTTGACAAACATGAACAGCGTGGTTTGTGCTATTTTCTGATGCTAGCTTTTTTTGCCTACATTGTTGCTACATTGATGCTTTTATTCCTTAAAGGTTACTAAAAAAAGGATTGCAAACAAAAAGAACTTTGAGAATAAGGAGGCCCAGAGTTCTCAAGCCACCCCACTTCAGACTAGCCAACCAGGTTCTTCCAGTGTCACCAAAGTGATTCCGCAGGGGAGTTCATCAGCTTCCTTAAAGTCCTCTCAGATTACTCAACCCGCACCTTCTTTTCAAGTTGAAGCTGCCCCCCAGGGCCATAGTGTGTCTCACCATAAGTCAACACCAAGCTCTTCTTCAAGAAGAAAATCAAGAAAATTGGCTGTCAATTTTGGCGTTTCTAAACCTTCTGAATAAATTTGGTACTTGGAATTAAGTTAATTTCTTTCTTTTCCACACACCTTTTTATAAATCCACATCTATCTCTCACAAAAAATTAGAATGTGCTGTTTTAAAATAATATGTTTCAATTGAAAATTTTTAATTTTTTGTCAGGCACTTTTCATGCTGTTTATATCAAATTGTGCATCTTCAGTATGTGCAGTTTGTTTTACATCAATTATACCTCAATAAAGCTGTAAAAAAAAAAAAGAGAGACTAAATTAAACCTTGTGTCAAAATAATATCAGTGGACTAAAATGTGCCAATCTAATCAGTGGCCTCATCATTAGAAGCATCCTGAACTATGAATTAGACATCATATTGCAATACTAATAAATATTTTTTACACTATCATTGAGGGATAATTAAATGGAGCATGAAAATTGGGCCTCAAGTATAATTTACTGAAAGTGGATTTTATTTCTCTTTTTAATGATGGAACAGAATTGTCAGGAGAATGGCTTTTATGTGTGAGTGTGTTAACTTGTGTTTTATTGTCTGCCAGGGTCCTTGCGCCCTGCTGGGTGATCACATTGGTGTGGTGCTGCCAGTTCTGCTTTATCCTAAATTTGTACCAAAGCAACTTTAGAATACTGAGCAGGATATTTCATTTAACTGCTTACCACTATAAATAGCAATCTAGATTTGAGTAAGTAATTAGAGTTTTTTAGATTATTCGAGAACCAGCATTAGTAATTTCTAATAAAATTCTTTCAAAATCTACAGGGTACAATGATTACAAATTAATCTTCTAATGAAATAAAGTTCAAAATATTAATCATGTTGTTAATTAAAATAAATTGTATTATTCTTTTATATAGCTTTTTACCTGCTTACTTAAATATGTGAGAGCTCCATTATTGCTCCATGTGTAGCGCTTCCTAGAACGGATGAAATTCTAAATTTTTTTTAAATTCCAAGGTGTGGTTTAATACAGGTACAATCAGTTTGTGATGTACATTATTTACATGACAAATGCCTGTCTCATTCTGTTTCCATATTTTTAGCTTTATGCTGAACTGTCTGGTGACTCTGGCATTTTGTCTTTGCATGTTATATGTGGGTGTGTATTGTTCAAGCTGTGGCTGTTGAAATTATTTTAGAATTTATGAAAATTTCTCAGTGGTACCTGGGCCTGAGTTTTTATATATATATATTTATCCTTTAGTTTTTGTGATATGCTTATATTTTTAAGGAAGTAATTTATCATACTTTTTTAAAAGTAGAAACCGTAATCTTTATATGCAGTTGCTCATTGTGTCCAGTTTCATTTAGCTTATTGAAAACTCTGCCATGAGTCTTTGAGTAGTTTGTTTTTTAAAATGCTGCTTTGAACTAAGTGGATTCCTTTCTCTAACTGCTGACTTCAGAGTTTCTCTAAATGTTAAGAGGGTATTTGTATATTAGTAGTGCCTTTAGTATGAGATAAATGTTCATTATCTGTCATTTATTATAGTCATGTGAGTTTCTGTGATTTTATTTTCTGTTGATTTCCTGGATTCACGTGTTCATCGGTTCCCAACATTTGCTTGTTGAGAATGTTTATCTGTAGTGGGATCTTCGATAATGAGGCTCAAGTAATTCAGTGTTTGTCCTTATTTCCGCACAAACTCTCTACTTGTTTTTAAAGGAAACATCTATTATGGGAATACAATACCAAAAAGTTAAATTGTGACAGTGATGTTCCATTAACCTCTTACTACTTCAAAATGTGTAATATCTCTCAGCATATAACTGTGCAAACTCCAGCATTCAAGAATTGCCTCGCTCCTGTGTCACCACTCTAGGAACAGGGTACAGCCGGCATCTTTTTAGAGCACAGAGGAAGGAGCACACGCCATCTTCTGAATACTCCAAGAAAAATTTCAGTAAGCATAGTGCCACTGAGCCCATAAGGATATTTCCTCAGTGTTTGAGCAAAGCAAGCTGACAGTTGTGTGTGGATAGGCAGTAAAAGTGTTTTCTCTTCATTCCTTCTTCTCTTTCTTTTAAACTATTATTCCAAAGATCAAAATTGAAGAAGGGTTAAAATAGGAGACAGCTCCAGAATGACTAGATGGTGATGGGGCATTTATCTGTATTCTTTCCCCCTTGCAGACTTTTTCCAAATGCAGGCCTAAGATCCACAGCTGATGGGCCCTCCCTCCAGTTTTTGTCTCGTGATAATCTTGAGGAGACTGGATCCACTGATAGTTTAGGGAACTTGCAGTTTTCCCCTTTTGGCTGAGGCAGACTCAGACCGCCCCGGAGTTTAGAAACAGGCCCATTCAACTGTTGAATCTGCTGAGGACTTTCTCTGAAAACTGCGGGCTGTACAGAGCACAGAAGAGCAGATTCCCCACATTGCTTCATGTTTCCACATAACTACAGCAATGAAATCTAAATATCCTTGTTCAATAATTTTTTTCTCTTTTTTGAGCATCTCAAGTGAATTTTACAGATTGATCCTTCCAGTCTCATTCTTCCTTTTCACGATTTCCTACATTACCCGATCATTACCTGTTTTATAATTTGACAGAATGTATTAATTGATTTAAACATCACGTAGACTAAAGTCTTAAACATCTGAGACTCAGTTTCAATAAAAATTAATTGCACCTCTATGTGTACCTTAGTTTCACCTTAAGACTTTCCTTCCTTTTCTGAGGATTAAGTAGTTCTTTGAGAACTAAAAAGATAAGCAGCTCTTTTTTCCCCCTTTGTGGGAGGGATGGAGAACTCTAGATGCAGGTTTTCGTTGTTTATTTCCTTTTCTGTGATCAGATATTTGCCTTGGTTTTAGATTGATATTTCCAGCTAATCTAGATTCTTGGCTTTGGGGCAGGGGGTGGGGACGAGGGAGGTGGTTGGCAGAAGGAAACCGCTTAACTAAGACGTACCAACTCACTGCTTTTGCAGACTGTATCTCCCCAGCTCAAGGAAATAGATGAGCTGCATTCACGTTCATTCACGTTTTAATCATAGTAAGTCATACATTTTCATAGTGATCTGATTTTTACCTTTCATAGAACTGTCCAGATCTCCATTGAAGTTAGTTCTAACATGCTTCTTCTCATTGTTCAGAGCATCTTTTTTAAAGCAACTGTGTACAATTCCCCGGCTTTTTGAGCTTGCTATATTTTTTAGTACCATCTTGCTTTTAAATTGTGTTTTTACTGTAGAGGAGAATTAATTTATTGGAGAGAAGTTATTGTGACAGACATTCTCTACCTTTTAAAAAAAATAAATCACAGAAGTTCCCTTATATGCACATTTTGTAGACTTTGTCAGTGAAACAGTGTTTTTTGCAGGAGGTTTCTTTCCTTGACAGGATAAAGCTTACAATTCCAGAAATGGATATTTTTCAGACTGACCTAGTTCATATTTCCGTCAGACCTCTCCATCTTCTGCCAAGGAGCAGTTAGAGACAGTGTTGAAACAGACAGCAGCAGGGCCGAGCCGACAGGCGGCAGAAGTGTCGCTGCTGCCATACTGAGGGAACAGCCCAGACATCGCTGATCCTTCCTTTAGAGAGAGAAAACGCGTGTATAGAACAGTTTCAGGAGTTCAGAATAGCAGCCCTCCATAGCTGTGTGTGTGTGTCTGTGTGTGTGTGTGTGTGAGTGAACCGACAGTGATGCCTTGCTCAGTCAGTGCATTCAGCCATCTTAAGTGCAATTTGTGACGGAGACTCTGGTTTCCAAAAAGTTTTACATAGTCAAACCTGTAAATACTATTTTTTTTCACCAGTGCACCCATTGCTATTGATATTTCAGCAATTGGTGTACTATTAAATTATCGAGGCCAAATAATTAAGTTTCTCTAGATGTTTTAGTAATTTAAAGCCAAATTCTCATGCCATTTCTCATGAAGTAAGAGGAGTGAGAATTTGGTCCACGGTTTGCTCTAAGTTATTTTATTCTTTTCTTTCCCTTAGAGTTAAGGGGCTTTTTTGTTTGTTTGGGGTTGTTTTGTTTTGCCTCAAGTCTCTGACATTTTCTTTTGCCTGTACCCAATTACTTCTTTGAGTGTGCTCATCTGTTTTGATATGAGTAATAATGTGCTGTATCATCAGTGTTCATTTCATTCATTTAAACAATATAATTAAGTACCATTCATACGTATATATCACTTCATTTCTTTTATCACAATGATTTTATAAATAACTGGAATTTTTCATTAAATCTTATACAGAGCAGTATTTTATTAAAGATTTAAAAGGGAAGACTTTTATGTGCTCATTTTGTAGTTTTTCTTTTTTAAATATCTTCACATTGTCTGCAATTAAAGTGTTTTAAACTTGGATTGGAATGGACTCCGAATGTATTTTTGTGTTAAGTTGTACATTTTTAGATTTCTAGCATGAAGTTAGCCTCAAAATGTTGTACAAAAAGATTTTAAAATTTAAGAGTCACTGAAAGAATTTAAACATTTCTGCATGTTAAATGCTGTCTGGATTTTAATTAAACACTTGAGAATGATTTCATACGCTGTTTGCTCTTTTGTGTTTCTGTTAATAGCAAAGTAGAAACATTACGCTATTCTCTTAAACCCCATACCCTTTTATATCAACATTTAGAATCTGTGTCATTTGGAGCAAACTGAGACAGCATGATTGGTGGGCAAAGTCTGCATTGTAGACTCACGTGGCCGCTGTTCGGAACCAGCTCTACTCCTTAGAATTGTAAACAAGTCATCATCACATTAGCACTGGCAAGTTCTGTAAGGTCTAAGCTTCATTTCATCTCCTAAAGAAATAAAACAACACCCCTTGTGATGTTAATGTATGTATGTATAAAGAACATTAAAATCCCTGTGGTTGGGGCTGGCCCCGTGGCCTAGTGGTTAAGTTCGCGCGCTCAGCTGCAGGCGGCCCAGTGTTTCGTTGATTCGAATCCTGGGCACGGACATGGCACTGCTCATCAAACCACGCTGAGGCGGTGTCCCACATCCCACAACTAGAAGGACCCACAACGAACAATATACAACTATGTACCAGGGGGCTTTGGGAGAGAAAAAGGAAAAAAATAAAATCTTAAAAAAAAAAAATTGCTGTGGATGGCTAGATGGGTGGATAGGTAATGAAGCACGTATAGTAAGAGGGTAATGGTGGAATGTAGGTGGTGGGTGTACGGGTGTTCACTGTATAATATTTTAAACTTTGTTATCTATTAGAAGGTTTTCATAATGAAATGTTGGAAAAAAGAAAAAAAATCCCCTTAAAGGTGTCTGGTGCTGTCAGTGGAGATCAGCCAAGATCTTCAGCGCTCGGTCTTGTTCTGCTCGGTCTTTAGAGAAGCAGATAGGCCTAGGGAGGGAAACAGCGGGGAGTGGCAGAGCGTGCCAAGTTTCAGAGCGACTCGTTGAGGGAAAAAGGCAAGTTTCAGAATGATGCATAAAACATGACGCCATTTATATAAAATAAAAACAAAAAAGTTTAAATACTTGTATGTGCAGATAGTGTGTGCAGTATCAAAAAAGGCTGGAAGGATACACACCATATGCTCACAGCATTTATCTCTAGGAGATGGTCAAAACGATTTTACTCTTACCTGTTATGATTTAAAAGTTTGTAGGAAATGTAGCATGTATTACTTGTATAATTAAAAATTAATTTAAAAAGAGAAAGTAAGTTAGAACGTTGGTTTCGGAACCTAGAAGACCTCTTTTGAATTCCAGCTCATCTACATACCATATGTTTGGGCTAGTTAACCTCTTTGTGTCCTAATTTCCTCATTTGTGAAGTGAGTTAATAGTATTTTTATATTATTATTAATGTTTTGAAGATTGAGAGTGTTATATAAAGTGATTGGTACCTAGTGGATATCCCATAAGTAGTAACTGCTGTTATTACTGAGCCTTGTGCCCGAAACTTCAGTGATGTATTCACGGAGATGTAAATAATCACGTGACCTGTGACTGTGAGCAATACAATTGTAAAGCCCTGCAACCGGCATAATGGAGAACTTCATAGAGTGTTGCCTGACAAGAGCTGTGGCCCTTTGTAGAACAAAGCAGCTAACCCAGGGCAACCTACTAGGGAGGGAGCTTGGGAACAAATACTTTGACCTCCTTTTTTCCTCCCTCCAGTATCCTGCCAGTGCCTTCTGTTGGCCAAACCCAACTGAGTAAACTTTGGGCAAGGGAGCCTTTTGATGGAGTCCATGCAGACCAGCCTCCCAAGGCACAGACCAGAATGGAGAAGAATGGAGAGTGAATCTGGAAGGGTAAACAGAAGATGTACAGTATAGAATTAATACATTGGGTCAACGGTGGGGTTTTATATGGTTATAATAATGGAAACACCAAATAGGGATCTAAACAAAATCATGTTATAACTGTATTAGGAAGATGGAAAGGGTGCACATATATGGTGGTGGTGGAGGGAAATGTGTGTGTACTCTTCCGTGGTGAAAATCAATAGCTCATGCCCATTACTGAAAAAACAAAGTATGTTTCTTATAAAAGGAAATACAAAAAGAAGATTTCATGTGACTGCCTAAAATAAAACAAAATAAAACAAAAAAGGAATTGACCAAGAAGACCTCTTGTCCTTCTGAGTCCTAACATATTATTTTCTGGGCCATAGGTAGAAAATGGTACATTTGACTAGTGAAACCTCTACCTCAAGAATGACTCAGAGATTAAAAATCTATAAGTTAGATGTTCTAATAGTCTCAAAATAGCGCTCCACAAATTGCTTCTTAAGTAGAAAGGGGGAAAAGATCCCTTCATAGTGTGGAGATCTGGCTGTCACTATCTGAAGCAAGTGGTCAAGCTTGGCAACAGTTGCCAGCAGCGGCAGGGAAGGACTGACATTCCATGCTTCTTGACGTGATGCAGAGAGGAAGGACATGACACCTCGAGTGTGGTGTTCTTGCCAAAAAGACTTGTCCTGCGTCTAGTAAAGGGAAGCAGACAAATGTGGGATTTATGGCACAAATCCAGGCCAGACAACTCACCTGTTCTCATCAAAGGGAGCTTAGAGGCAGACGGGACTGAGCGATTCAAGAAACCTAACAGTTACATACAATGCGTGAACCTTGATTGGATCGAGGTTAGGAAAAAAATAACATTTACAAGACATTTTATGGAACAATGGGCAACTGAGAACGGATGGTATTTTAAGTTAGCGTCAGTTTTCTCAAGTGTGGCAATTATGTTGTAATTATGCAAGAGCTGTTCTTATTCTCGGAAGATGCACGCTGAAGTGTTTAGGAGTGAAGGGTCATCTCTCTGCCGCCCACTTTCAGATGGTCTGCCATAAAGGAAGTGTAGAAAAAGATGGAGGGAGTGTGATAAGATGTCAACATCAGCCCTTTAGCTGAGGAGGAGTCAAGTATGAAAACTTGAATACTCCTCTTTCAACTTTTCTGCAGGTTCAAAATAAAAAAATTTTTTTAAAAAAAGGAGGGAGGTGGAGCAAAATGGCCAGGTGAGCAAAATAAAAAAAATTTTTTTTGATTAAGTGTTTCTGAGGAGGGACAAATGTGGGGATGGGTGGGCTGCTGTTTTTCACGATAAGCCTTGTTGAGTATTTGACTTTAAACCACATACGTGTTTAACGTTGATAAGACTAAAAACTAATAAAATTAGTCAAGGCTAATAGGAGCAACATTACAGTTTTGTAATGTAATGTATACTTTATTGTATAATAATTAAATCAGTTATTTGGAAATTAGTACTTTTTAAATTTGGCAGCTGAGTCTCAGGGCTGGAACTTACCTTGGAGAACCTCTCAGCCTGCCTCTCCACTGTAGCGATGAAGACAGGGAGGCTCAGGGGAGTTCAGTGACTATTCCCAAGGTCAGAGCCAGGGCCCCGCACTTCTGTTCCAATCATCTTTCTTTGTGTACCATGAATCGTCCATCTTCTATTGTATAACACTGCTGCGTAGTGAGTAAACAACTGTTCAGTGATTTGTGCCGTCTCCTAGGATGATAACAACCATGGGTGAAAAGGGAGGAAGAAGGGGAAACAGGAAGCTAAAAAGACCATAGTTGGTTATTGGCTGTTCAGGGAAATCGAGACTGACGTTGCAGAGTGGTTACTCTCAGGCAATAAAGAATTCATTCTGCCAAACTGTAGAGTTTCATCCGATCACACTGTCGCTGGCTATTAAAGTTGATAATTGATACTAAGAAGCTTGTAAGCCTTTGGCTCCCAACATTTGGCCCAGCTGTCGAAAGTCGGCTCAGTCAAGACTGACAAAGAAGCTTTGTTGCTGCTGGTGGTGATCACCGAGATTTTCAGACACTTCTTGGAATTTGGGATACTTGGCTTGCTTAAAAAAATACCTAAGTAATTCCCTTGCCAAGTTTTAAGATTCCAAACAATAAGAAAAGTGGGTTTGACAATGTATATTTTATTTATTTCCCCTATATTTTATAATAAAAAATTTCCAAACACACATAAAAGGTAAAAAAGATTTCAGTGAACATGCATATAGATACCACCTAAATGCTACCATTAATACTTTACTATTCTTACTTTATCATATATCTATCCATCTATGCACTTCTCTTCCCACTTAAGAATCCATCTTATTTTTTTATGCATTTCAAAGTAAATTTCAGACATCAGTATACTTTTCCCCAAACACTTCAGCATGCCTATTGTCTACACAAATAATCCATAAATCAAAATTAGAGTGAGTTTATTATGAGCCAGGTTTGAGGACTATAGCATGGGGCCTTCCTTCCCCAAGGAAGGAAGCACACCGAAGGAGGGGCGTGTACAGAGTGGTTATATACCGTCTCAGAACAAAGAATATCCATCACATATGCCAGGAATATCTCTTTTACTACCATCCCAAGATACTTAGCTGGCACAGCAGGTTGGTGGTCAGCAGGTCAGTGGTCATAAGGTGAACGCAACAGGTACGTAATTAATCCGTAATTTCCAGGAAGAGAGGCTTTTCCTTAAAGAAACGCCAATATGGGGGAAGCTGCATCCTTATCTTTAAGGGCATCGTTCTTGTCTTTGGGCCATAGTAACTGTTTAAAGCAGATGTACAAGGCACGCTCAACAGGACATGTCAGGCCCTTTTGGAATAACAAGTTCAGGCCAAATTAGTTTTACACCAAATGGCTTCCTCATATACTCCAAGATATCCCATTGCTTTTCATTTACTTATCAATACCATTAACTAGAATTCATTATTTTTATGGTTCTTTTTTGTTTCTTTAGAGGTAAAATTTACGTAAAGTGAAATACACAGATCTTAAGTGTACCATTCCATGAGGTCCAGCAGATATATACACACGTGCAACCTGAATCGTTACCAAGACACAGAACATGAACATCACACACAAATAATTCCCAATAATCGCTACACTCAACTGCCCAGAGGCAGTATTCTGAAATTGTTTCACCAAAAGTTAATTTTGCCAGTTCTAGAATTTCATACTAATGGAAAAATACAGTATGTACTCTTTTTGCAAGGTTTCTTTTACTCAATAGAATGTTTTGGGATTCATTC